TAAATTTCGTGTTCTGTTGATAAGACGTGACAGAGCATTATCAACACAGACAATTGCTTCAATATCAAACGATAATAAACTGAAGACAAAATCTGGAGATGGGCGTTTTTCATTCTTTGATGGGAAGCCCTCATACTGGTTTTTCGCCAAACGTGTCTACGACAACACGCAAGCAACATACTCAGCTGCTGGCAACTTAACTGGAAGTGGGATGGCGCTGCGAGGAGCTGCACATGATTCTGAGGCGTTGCTGTTAGCTTCTGTTCGAGATCTCATTAAAGTAATGCTGATTTCTGTAATAACAGCACCAGTTTTGTGGGTGCATATGTAGAGCTAAGAATATTGTACTTAAAGACGACCTCAGATCTTACTGTTGCACCAGTTGTCTGCACTGCGTACTCAGCTAGTCCCTTTTTGCTAAAAGAGGAGCATGTGCACGATGCACCTTTTTAGACTTTTATTATATTTTTTTACATATACATTTTAAATATTTTATGTTTTGTTCCATTTTTACTGTCAATTTGAAATATATGTCTTTTACAAAAATATATGTTTTTTTTTTTAAATTATAATATAAAATATATACAGTCCATAAGAAACTATTAATAATTAAAACCTTTGGAAGTTCATTGTTATCAAGGCCACAAACTGACCCTCACTGCGTTACATTAACAAAACGCTGGCAACTCGTTCAAAATATGAACAAAGATTTCTGAAAGAAATGGTCATCAGATTACCTACAACAGCTTCAAGTCAGGTCTAAATGGAGGCGACCATCCCAAAACCTGAAAGTAAATGATATGGTTCTTGTCAAGAAAGAGAATATGCCACCAAGTAAGTGGGTCTAGGCCGCCTACAAAACGTTCACCCTGGAAGTGACGGGTACGTAAGGGTTGTTACCCTTAAATGTAGCAACAACATCACTCAGTGTCCTATTACTAAATTAGTAACTTTGCCGGATAATGACAACACATTAAACCAAAACTTAGAATCGATTACACCAAGCAATGACGACTCCACAAATACACAACAGCACTAACACAAAATTATAATAATATGTAAACATTCATTTATCTCATATCTCATTTATAATTACTTGTATCATCATATTTATAGCTTTATTTATAATAACAATATTTTACAAGTAAAACATGACACAATATGACAGATAAAGAAGACACTAAAGTACCATATAGAATAGAATATAGAAAAACTCGCAAACAATTATCAAATAGACAACAATTATGTAGTCGGATCACACCAAAAGTAATCAATTGTACCCATCAGAAAAATATAGGATTTTTATAAAGATTATTTGATTCGTGAAGAGTTCGAATTCGTTACACTTATCAAAAAAATCTCAAACTATAACGTTTCTTGTGTCGAATAGAAGAATAGAATAGAAAATCATTTATTCAAATAAACTTACACTGAAGCACTTTTGAATACTCATTACATTTTTAATCTACCGCTCATTCGGAAAGTTCTCTCATCACAAGAAGAATGAGCAAGAAACTTGCGTGTTGCTCTTTTAAATAATTTTATTATTACTTTACATTTTTAAGTTTAAGTGTGTGAATACAAACCACCAATTAGCACTAATTCAATTAAATACTCAAATAGAAAAAATATTGAATATATAACCAACTGGTTAAACAATTAATAAGAGGAAATCAGTCATAGTGATTAGAGCAGACCAGTCCCTACAAGCAGCACCCGTTCACGAGTGTGACGGATGAGCCAGCCATCACTGCGCTCGACCATATTTTAGGGAGCCCAATGAACCGGCCTACCATGCCGCCACAAGTCTGGACATTTTAGTGAGTATGACTACTCAAAACACCAGACCACGTCAAAGCTACTTACAATTGTCATTCTTAACACGTTAAAGACCATATTAAAACCGTAGTAACTAATATACTCTGCTTGAAAATGTTATATTGTTGGTTCACTTACCTGGCGCGCGCGGTGACATGTCGCGAGACACAATATGTACACGACACACGAAAGACGAGTTATTGAATTATACAGTACGAACTCTCGGAGCACAGAATACGTCACTCGCAGCAGACTACCGAGTACAGACTGAAGTTCTGACTAGTGACTACACTAACGCAGTGTAGCCAACTCTGCAGTTTAAACGCATTGCAAATATTGACCTCGGATACTTTAATTTTTCTCAGCAATTACAAATCCTTTGGGGCTGATATTTAGGTATTTCATTTTTTAGATCTTTGACATCATATTGACAGTTCTCGTTACATGATTGATTAACCTTTGTAGCAGAGAAAAAATCTCAAAGATTGGTCTTATAAAATATATGCTTTTGCTGCGTTGTTTCCACTGTTATCGACTTTGATCAGAAAGCTTCTACGTTTGCGGCACAGTACTGCTACGGTAGAATGATTGTAAATACATGGATACATTTTTTTTTAAATGAATACATATTATACATAGAAAACACTCAGACCGATACAAACAATCATATTCATGAATACAAATTTTTGTCCGTGCGAGGAATCGAACCCACGACTATTGGATAGTAAAGCGGTGTGCTAAACCACTAGACCACCGAGGCTGTAGAAATACAAAGGCACCTTGCACACAAAGACAGAAATTTAAAATTGTCAGTTCAATGTGACAAGTGATCATTTAAAAAATTTAATCATAATATGTAAGATTTCAAGAATAAAGAGATAGTAACTCATATTCAAATTTAAAAATCATTTATTCATGTAGAATATTTTAGTCGCTTATGAACGTCAAGTTTTTACATTATATTTTTGTCCCTACCGTCCAGTTCAGTATATAGATCCAATTGAGAAGAACTGGCAAGAAACTCAATTGAATTTTATTTTTTTTTAAAGCCAGTTTATTTACAATTTATATATTTATATAGGTGTCTATGTCTAACATTAAATGAAAATCCTGTGCATGAACAACTATTGCCATGCACGCTCGTCATTCAAGTAATCGTTTAGTGAGTAATAGGCCTTGCTCAGTGAATATGATTTAACAGATGTTTTGAATTTATTTAAAGGTAATTACAATATATCCTTTGATATCTTCTTGTAAATTTTCATACCTATTCCCATAAAAGACCTATTGACTTTTTCTAACCGATACTTGGTGACAGCAAGTTTATCTTTAAATCTAGTATTAATATTATGAATATTGCTGTTTTTTGGAAGCTAGTGATACTACAACTCTAACATTTTGCTGATGATCAGCTACTATATTATTGTTATCGATGGACCTTTTTAAGCTGTTATAAATAAGTTTCCTCAAAAATAACTGGTCACATTTCCTGAAGTGTTACAATACTAGTTTATAAATATTACTAATTTTATTTAACACTAGCCACTCGCCTCGGCTTCGCACGGGTGTACATGACAATGTATTATACCTAAAAATCTCCCTCTTGAATCACTCTATAAAAAAAAATCGCTTCAAAATACTTTGTTTTATACTATGTAATGATAATGTATCTTTATGATTTTTGATATTTAATTGATTTAAAACTCTGATAATCACATGATTTTTCTTGTTTTTAATTTCCTCTCTACAATGTATTCTATTTATTACCATCATTAAATAATAAAAAGATAAAGCTGCAGATTTATTGTTTTTTTTTAATTTGATATTTACAGATTATTTTTTTGCATATCTACAGTTTTAATCTATGCCGAGGTTGCCAACACTAACACGAGAGGACTTGTATCCAGAGCCGTAAAATATTAATAATAATAAAAAAATTAGTTGGGCCACCGGCGCGGGCGCGAAGCAAGGCCGCGATGAGATCATAGATAATATAGTATACTTGAAAGATGAGAAGACGGAAACTAAATCATATACCATCGCGGGCACAGATTTAATTTCATATATATTTTTATTTACACGCATCGTCATTATAATTGTCGTAATATTGTTGAAAAGCACTGAATATATATTCTTTCTTTCTAATTACAATAATAATATTGAACGTATTGCCCCCGTAAAAAGAGGGATATCTATATAAAACATATACAAAATAATAATCGTGTGAATCTCAACGAGGCGCGTGCATATAAACGTTGTAAATAGTTATAAAACCGACACTGACGGTGACAGACATTATTACCCTATAAGTAACCAAATAAAAACCTTTTTTGAGGAAATTCAATACGCGATATCTTTCGAATGGAGTGCCTCTCTCTAGAAACACCGTGGCGACGAGGATGGTGTGATCTTTTCATGGCATATAATCAACTGATCCTGTGTGGGGACTCTCAGAACCTTACCTGCATAAATACGCAGCGCGGGTTGTTAAAATATACTAGATTAGAGTTTGGTCCTAACATGACATCGACCTGACAGATCAACGTCAAACACTGACATTAGTGATGTGCCAACCTCACACTTCCCTCCCCACTCGGCCTTAGTGTAAATTGGGCATAAGGTCCGACGCAAGTTTGCATTGCGTGCGAGGAGGCAAGCACGGAGGGGCGGGACTGCGAGGAACGCCCACCCTACGTAAATTTTGTCGTACAGGGCAGTCTGCCAGTCGCCAGAGTGCGACCCTGCGTACAATCACAAGTAACGATCCGCTGCTTAACGCGGCCAAAGATTACATAATGAGCGGCTGGTCAAGAAAAAATAATAATATTAACGGAAAACGGGTGTGTAATGCGTGGCCATAGGGTTTTTTTTATGCATGATAATGATATGATGCACCCGCCTGCGCTAATGGTTTACGCTGGCGGGGCACCAGTGGAGGATGATAAGATGAGAATGAGGTCAGGTCAGTTAGCACATCGTGACAAATTCACCAAGAATTTATCAGTTTCCAGGGGGACCGCGTGGAGGTCAACCTGACATGGTACATTGCTAGCAATAAGATCATCAATCCACATTACTAACAATCCCCTTTCCGCCCCCGTGGGAATAGGGTTGTTATTCCGACGGCACTACGTGACAAATTATGCGATGAACAACATATTTCTCATTTTGAAACAGTCAAAATGAAAGCGGAGGCTAGGGGACGGTTTTGGTTCCCGGGTGTAGACGTAGCGCTGGAGCGGCTGGCGGCTGCTGGCGGCGTGTGCCTCAATCTCAAAAAAACCTCATCTGCAAGAAGAGCCTGGTCCCTGTTATTTAACTCACTTTTGAGTTCCTCCACTGCAGCTTCCAACTTAACGATGTCAGCAGAGCCGGGAACGGTTCTTACGCTCTCCAGGTTTGTTACTCTAGCGTCCAGAGACTCCAATCTAGTGCTCTGCTCTCTCAAAACTGCCCTTAATTGTTCCATCTCCTTCCTGACAGCCGCGAATTCACACTGAAGTGAACTTCTGCACGGAAGGCTCGCATCTCCTCCATAAGACCAATAGATTCTTTGCTGGGAGAGGCGGCCTTCACAGACTCCCGTACTATCTCATCTTTCAATACTTCGCTGTGAAGGGATTTCATAGGCGTGTCTGAGTTGTCCCCTTTTGGATTTTTTGTCTTACACCCAGGACATAGCCATGCAGCAGAAATTTTGCCAGTTTCTCCTACTCCAATACACGCTCGATGATAAAAGCATCCGCATTTATTACATTTAGCGCCATCTGTTGCCGTCAAGAATCGACCACAAGCAGCGCACTTGTTAGCCATAACTATTGCTATTACAGTTCGATAAATAATAATTTAATTTGGCTATTTCACACTAGATGGCTCTGTTTAGTAAACATGCAACAGATTACCACTACAAATTGAGACTAGCACTTGATGCAATAAATCAGCTGATGCGGGTATAATCAAAAACAAAACACCTCGAAGACTTCTTAACACTGTCAATCACACATTTCAAACACAAATTTTTCTTCAGATTCTGTACAATATTTATTTATAACAGTCACTGCTATTAATCAGAAGTCGTACTTTGATAACTTATGTACTTTTCAGTAAAATATCCACTATTACTATTTAAAACCGTAAAAACTGTGAACAGGTCACCACGACTGTTGACGTCCGTACGTCTCAATGTGTAATATCGCAACTTTATTAGTCTATGTTTGATGTAGAATTATGCTCTCTGGTTCCTGACTGGTTTTTGTAATAAGTAAAATATGTCGTCTCTGATAAGTTTTGTAATTTGAAATATAAATAAATATATAAATATTAATAGTGTGTATAAATATAGTAATAATGACCTACTAAATTACTTAGAAATTAATAATAATAAAATGTTTTTGATGGTGGTGGATGCGTCCTCTAAGTGGGTCGACTGTTTTATTATGGGGCCGTCGTTGGGTTCTAAAGCGGTAATCTATAAGTTGTACGATTGGATGTCCCGTGTAGGAGTACCACATACTTTGGTCACTGATTAGAGAATTTTCACAGTTTTGTTCTATTAATGGAATCGATCATCACCTCATCACCCCGCGAGCTGTCCGGCTGATAGTTTGTGAAAACAATGAAAAAAGGATTGAAGAATATCATATTAAGTAACGTAAATAAAAATTCACTTAGTCAGGAAATTTATAAATTTTTATTTGACTACAGAAACTCCAAAAATGGTACAACAGCAAAATCACCAGCGGAAATTATTTATGGCAATAAAATCAGTGTTAACTTAGCTGTTTGCTTGACGTTTAGGTACCTACCTCTCTACACAACAAAATTGAATAATTCCAAAAGTCATGTAAAGGTATTGAACCAGTCGGGAATATAAAGTAATTTATTTTGATAAGGATTAATAGCAAGATACAAATAAAGGGCTTATTCTAGCGGCGGCATTTTAATTAAATTTATAAATTAAAAAAAACACTTATTGTGACATAACTATAAGAGTTGGACACATGCCGTCCCGATACTTTTTGTAGATAATGATGTGTTCTACAAAGTCGTAGTACATCATTTTGTTTTATCATCAATACTTTTCGCAGCGCACGCGGTGTTTGGTATTTTCAATGTATATTTTTACACCTTGGGTTACATTATTTGAGTTTTAGTAAGAATCCCTAATCTTTTTGGAAATATAATATAGCCTATGTCACTCAGGGATAGTGTAGCTTCCTAATGGTGAAGGAATTTTTCAAATCGGTCCAGTAGTTTCGGAGCCTATTTTATACAAACAAACAATCAGACAAACAAACTTTTCCTCTTTATAATATTAATATAGATGTGTATTTCTGATACAATCTATGTTATTGTAAAGTTTTAACAGAATCTGTTCAGCAGTTTTTGCATGAATGATGTTATGTTACGATACACCATTAGTTAATAAGTCTTTTAGTTTGTAATGATATCTATTTACATTTGTTTGTTTGTTTGTTTATTTGTAAACGAAATATTGTGAGAATAATAAATAGCAAAGTAAGTTTATTCATTCGCCACGTAACAAAGAGTAACATCCACACTCACAAACTTTCACGTCTATATTAGACTAGCTGTTCCCGCGACTTTGCCCGCGTGGAAAATAACTTTATTTTTCTAAAATAAAAGTAGACTAAAGAACTAAAAATTATTTCGTTCGTCTTAATTTATTCGTTCCATTAGGTACCTACTGATAGGTTCAAACTAATACATTTACATCCTGCATCATCCCTTATTTTATCCCCATGGGGGTTTAATTTATCAAAATCCTATTTAATCAAACGTCTTCATCATAGTAGCTCCAGTCTTTAATTTCAGTTCAATCAGTCGAAAATCTAAGAAGAATACAAACTTTCATCCTCTATTTTACCCCCTTAGAAGTGGAATTTATAAAAATCCTTTCTTAGGGGATGCCTACGTCATAGTAGCTTTATGCATGCAAAGTCTCAGCCCGATCGGTTTAAAATTGACAAAGTTTCATACAAACTTTCATCCCCTATTTTATCGCCTTGATTGAATTATTCAAAATCCTTTCTTAGCGGTGCCTACGTCATAACATCTACCTGCATGCCAAATTTGAGCCCGATCCGTCCAGTGGTTTGGGCTGTGCGTTGATAGATCACTATCAACGCACAGCCCAAATCAGTCACCTTTGAGTTATATATTATATATTTAGATATAATATTATGTTACCTGTGATATTACTAAGACTTTGTTTGATTGCAAACAAGCATACGGCCCATCTGATGGTAAACGGTTACCGTAACCTATGGACGCCGGAAACACCATATACTGCCTCTTTAATTATAAATACACGAATGCACGACATATCGTCTCGATTCAAACTGACAGCGCCAGTAAAACAAACACGTATCACTGACGTTTACAACTCGGAGCGTTGAGATATTATTTATTTGTGATTTATTTGTGTTTGTTATGAGTAAGTTTATTTTGTGGTATCATGCGAACTTTGGACTTGTTAATATATAGCAAATGTTATTTAGCAATTTTCTATGGTAAGTAAACATTATTTATTATTTATCGACTAACTATACGACAGCATCATCGTTGCACTGAGAGATGGAGTCGTCATCCGGACCGTCGCATCCCTGGAATGTTTCTCATGCAACATTTGCTTCTCATGATGGAGGACAGCACTGCTCTCTACGCGGTCACCTCCACAGTAAATGAGCTGTGAAAACAAAAACAGGATAATGAGGATCTAAACGCGGGACTCTACTTAGTGCATAATGATAGATTTTGAAGTACATTTTCATGTTGTTTTGAATTGGAGTGTCTTGTATAACATAATGGAGCTTCTAATGAAACCCAGGTTTCATATATTTAAGTATTTTAATTTCAACAAATTAGTACAAAAGTGAACTCGATAACTGACGAATGTCTATATAAGAAACAAATAAAAATGATGCGGGTATACAAATTCAAATTCAAATATCGTTGATTCATGTAGGCATTTTAGCCGCTTATGAACGTCAAATTTTTACATTATATAGATCTGATTGAGAAGAACTGGCAAGAAACTCAATTGAATTACTTTTTTTTAAAACCAGTTTATTTGCAATGTATATTTATATAGGTGTCTATGTCTAACATTAAATGAAAATCCCGTGCATGAACAACTATTGCCATGCACGCTCGTCATTCAAGAAATCGTTTAGAGTACTTTAGAGTAATAGGCCTTGCCCAGTAAATATGATTTAACATATGTTTTAAATTTATTTAAGGGTAATTCCAACATAACCTTTGTTATCTTATTGTAAATTTTTATACCTATTCCCAAACAACAAGTATATACGCAATGCGACTGCTCAGTGCATCTTCTTGTTGCTATTAAAATATATCAGGCGCTTTAGGCCTCAACAGAGAGGGTTGAATTTTAAATTATAACGGCTTGATAAATAAACATGTATATATAGTACGTTCATATGTACAAGCGATACAGAATAGAATAGAATAGAAAATCATTTATTCAAATAAACTTACATTGAAGTACTTTTGAATTGTCATTACATTTTCTTTTTTTTAATCTACCGCTCGTTCGGAATGCTGTCTCATCACAAGCAAGAAATTTGTGTGTTACTCTTTTAAATAATTTATTCTTACTTACAATTTAAGTTTAAGTTTGTGAATACAAACCACCGATTAGCTCTAATTCGATTAAATAATAAAATAGAAAAAATTTGGAATTCAATACACAACAACTGGTTAAATAATTAATAAGAGAAAATAAGTCATAGTGATTAGAGCAGACCAGTCCACACAAGCAGCACCCGTTCACGAGTATGACGGATGAGTCAGCCACCACTGCGCTCTACCATATTTTAGGGAGCCTCAGAAAGAAACCTACAAGCGTTGGCTCATATTTCCTTTGACAAGTTCGACGACTGCGCAATAGCTCGGATTGAACTGACTGTTATATACATTGCCGTAATAGAAACTAGATGGAGATATGGGGGGTAGCGGGTAAGGTAAGTGGACTGTATGGACATGAAATAAAGGGGGCGCACAGTACGTACCTGCGACTGGAGAGCGGGTGTATTCTGGCACAGCTGCTGCACTCGATGAATACTAAGTTTAACACAGGCACGCACACAAAGTTACTTATTGTTAATGTCAATATTATATTAATTAATTGAAAGCGGAGCGGTCGGGACGAGATGTCACCATTCACGTTAGTAGACGAGGTCGTCGGCCGACCTCAGTTGACATACTGTGCGCGGGAAAGGGATTAAGATATGGGGAATAATACCATACCACTTGATATGTTTATAAATGGCGCGAACACTAGATAAGATACATTTTATTATATCTAAGTAATAAACATAACTAAAATAAATAAAAATACAGTAGTAATCTATGCTAATCTATACATGTAAATAAAATTGGAGTGTCTGTTTGTAATATTGAAATAACAGTTTTTTACTACATGCATATGAATATAAATACGGTACATACACCAAAATAACATTTTTTTCAATTTTTGTCTGTCTGTTTGTTCCGGCTAATCTCTGAAATGGTTGGATCGATTTTGACGGGACTTTTATTGGCAGGTATAAGGAGTAACTTAGGCTACTTTTATTTTCAAAAAATATGTTTTTCCACGCGGACGAAATCGCGGGTATAGCTAGTATATTATAGAGAGATACCTTCTTTATTTTTATTCAATTATTCAAATGCTGTAGGTTATTTTGTGATATGTGATTTAAGCTAATTATAATTTTTAAGTTGTAATGAGAAATAAATCATTTCAAGTTTTATCGGAGTTAAATTTGTTTTGCCTCATCATTTCATCCAAATTTACTAGATGGAAGATTAGATTAGACTGTTTCGGTATTAGCAATGACGTCTCCTTCATATTTTTTTAATCTATACTAATATTATGAATAGATAAAGATCGTATGTTTGTTTGTTCGGAAGTAATTTTCAGTTCTGCTAATCGGATTTTAAAAGTTCTTTCACTTTTAGAACAGTAGGTATATTATCCCCAAGTACTGCTCTCTTTTAAAACCTCCAAAATAAAAAATAAAAGTTCGTGACCACATGTGTCTGTCTTTTAAGGTTAACTCACCTTTTTTATGTTAATAAAATTTCTACTAAAATGATGCATGACTTGCGAGGGTGTTATTATAAACAGGATATAAGTCCTTAACTAAATTATAAGTATTTAATTTTGACCAAACACAGGACAGGGGAAAACAACCGAAATGAAATTAATATTTCATTTCGGCCATTGATGAAAAAGGTTGTTTTCCCCTGTCGTTCTGTTTGGTTGGCGAACGCACATATAATAATGCCTTAATAATGTACAAAACTTTATTTATAATTTATTTATTTTTTAATTTACTTTATTTATAATTTCTTTATTTAAAAAAACACCAAAAAAATTATAGATTTCCTACAAGTATGTCATAACAAAAAAATGGTTCTATGTTATTATGTACTACCATTTTATTATAATTAATTTTATAACAAAATATTGATTGAATAAAGTAGAAAAAAATATATAAAAATGCTTGGTGGGCCGCATAAAAACATGTTTAACAGCCCGCGGACCGCGTGTTGCTCGTTCCCGCTATAGAAGACATATTTTTGTATTAATAAAAGAAACACCTCAAATCTTAGTGCCGTGCGAAATCGGGGCGGGTTGTGAGTACAGAATATTATAATATTACAGTAGTGTAATACGATGTACACATTGTTTACATTGTTTATTTATTATTTCCAGTTTATTTTATCTGATGGTGCTAATCGACAGCCACACTATATCTAAAAGTGTAACAGATGAAGATACAACGGACGAAGTCGATGACAGTATACGCGGACGAGAGCACCCGCATCCGCGTGCACTGCACGACGCCAGACCACGTCACCACTGTACAAGAGAGCACACGTCAACTAGCGAAGCGACGCAAGAAAAACCCAAGGCAGACAAACATAAGGATGAAATAAAATATGAAAACGGTATAATAAAATCCCACAAATCTACGAAGAAACATAGTCTCTTTGGATTTTGGAGAAAGAACCACAAGAAAATAAAAAAGAAAAGCAATAAACAACACTCCATTACAGTAGTCGAAAGAACAACGTACCCAACTTATAATAATGGCAACAATAAATATATACCTAGGAATACGTATCAAAATTACAAATCTCCTAGAATGTATGAGAAACAAACGAGATTCTTGATGGAAAATTCTCAGAATCATTTAATGAATATAGAGAAGAGAAAGCGCGAAGTGAGTAAACAAAATATATATATAAAGAACGCAGTGTCTGCTGTGCAAACGGAACTATCTCCTTATTATTCTGGAAAACCTGATATCGAATTTAATATATCCAGTATTATGACTCACCAGCCTGTAACAAATCAACCTATAACAGCACAATGTAAAAATAAAAACCTTTTAGCAGCAGTTACCACAAAATTGTATGTAACAAAAAATATGTACGCTAATGACAATTATACGAAATTAAACAATCCCGTTAAAATTTTAAAGGAGATCCAACCAAATAAAGAAACTTCGACATTGGCCACTACGAAGAAAATTACAACAACGACAGAGAATGATGTCCACTTTTTTGGAACGGCACAAATTGAAGCTATGCTTAATGAGATAAAAATAAAGGCCATGAAAATGGTCTCTGAACAAAACCCAGCTGTTACCAATTTTATTTCAAATACAGTAATAGAAGCTACTTTTGAGGCTGATCCTATTCTTAGACACATAGAAGTCGGCAGACCGAATTATACTTCAGGTCCAATTATATCATTCAGTTCAATTGGGAATGATATTAATAAACGCACCGTATATACGACTGAGCCTATTCAGGTAAAAGTTATAAACGATTCTATTTTTACAAACAAAGATGCTACACACGTCGTTGCAGCTCGATCCGTTCAAGAAGAGATATTTACAATAGCCCACAATATAGAGGATACGATAAAAAATAAAATTAAAAAAGTTTATAAAAAAGTAAAAAACAGAGTCTCTTCTGATTTTAAAAAAGAAATGAAAGTAACGAAAACAACTTTGGAAAAAAAATCCCACAAACTTGCAAACAAATTCACAAAAAGTAAAAAAACGACTAAACCTAGTTTATTAACGAGAAGTAAATCTAAGGCAAAGTCATCTAAGATGACTACACCACGTTTATGTCGTGGCACAAGTAAAAGTATTAATATTGCGAAAATGACCAACAAAGAGTTAGGTCCCACGACAAATTCTGCGCCATTTGATGATTATAACATGTTATCATTATATGAACAGATATTAAGCAAAACTCATCAAGATAATGTAATGAAAATGCTTGCTACTACTGAATTACCTATTGCTAAAAGGAAATACGATTCTAAACTGTCTAAACGAAGTCTCGGGTCAAATGCAAGTCTGAATATAAAAAATGTAATGAACAAAATTGATGAAAACAACGGTGTACCAGATGATTTCCTTTATTATAACAGCAATGAAGAGACAGAAAAGGTACCAATGTTAGAACCTGATTATACTTCAAAAAGTACTACAGAATCTACTGGCGAAAATACAAGCTATGAAGGTCTTAGCAATAAATTATCTTACAAAGAGTATGTAAACGGTTACAAACACTATTTGAAATATCAAAAGGAACAAGGAAATGAAAAGTTCTCCAATCTGGTTCGTTACCAAGCTCACAGACATCATAATGTTGATGACATTGGAAAGTATATATTAAATAAAATACCTCAAGTCCCTCTCAATAGATTGGGTAGAAATATATTTGAAGAGATGGATACAATCGACGATCAAGATATTTCAACGAAAAGTGACGATTCATGGTTTAAGAAACATTTTTACTTCTTTTTAGACAAAGGTCCGTCTAAAAAATTTCACACATCACAGACTATTAACTTGAAGTCCTCTGTAACACAATCCAACGACATCCAAGACATACCAACGACAATAAATACTTTGAAAAGAGAGAAACTTAAAAACAAAGCTATAGCTGAAATTGCTGATACTGTAAAAAGTGGTGGTAAGAAGGATACAATATCTACAAATCTAGAAGAATTGTCGAATTCCTTGAACGATTACGAAACGACATTAACTTATAATAATTTACCATTTCAAGGTGAGTAATTCCTAACAATACTTATTGTATTACGTATTTACACTTTTAAATATTTCATTCTTAAACTCATTTATTCTTCATGTTCGCCCTTAGATATAAAAAATATTTAATATTTTCATTGTAACAGAAAGAACACCCGAAATGAATGTTTATGATGATATTTCGATTCAGAGAAATTTTGCATTACCGACAGAAAGCACTTTCACGTCAAAAGAATTCATGCCCCAAAAGATAATCGACAAATTTTTTGGCAACAAAGAAAAAAAACGTTTAGATAATAAACGGACTCAAAATATACATTTTAATGAAGATATAAAAAAAGTTAAAAGACACAGCAATAAAAATAACAGCCTTAAGAAAGATTTTGGGTATGCTGATACAACTTTAGTGACACAACCTACGGTTGTTCTCGAATTGAGACCTAATAATGGAGACAAAAGTATTAGACATTTTTTCAAGAATATTCGCTTTTCTAAACTTCAAAAGAAAAATGACAACAGTAAGAAAAGAGATAAACGTCAGTACCGATATAGACAACAAAGATTTTATCCTTTTAATAAACTGAAGCATATGTTTTCAAAAGCCAATAGAAATATAAGTTTGAACACAAACATTGACGAGCAAGATGACGAAATTATGAGATCACACATAGATACTTTTAAACCAGTAAAATACAATAAACTTCCATCTATAGAGGATATGAAAAGTCAAATCCCAAATATTTCCAACCAAGATTACGCAACTATTGGAGTAGCTGAATATTTAAAATATAATTCAAAGCAATCAACAACAAAACAGTTTCTGCCGAATACCTTCCAACATAAATTTATGCCCGAATTTGATCCGAACATTCGCGAAATATTCCCGATTCCGGAACATTTCGATGTGACAACTGAAGGATTTGCTCACCCTTACGGTAAGTATTATGTTTACTTAAATCTAGAGAGAGAAGTGCTATGTACAGTGCAGATAAAATACCTTGTGCATGTTTGCCCAAAAACTAAAAAAATTGATCAATAAAAAGAGAGCCACACACACACTGACACTGGGCACTTCACTAAATTCTTATACTACGCATCTTCTTTCCAATTTTAAACAACTGATCAAGAATAATTATCGTGTAATACCCAGAACATAATAAAACTTCTGCAACTAAAATTTGTAGTGTTACGAAATTATTTTTACTACATTACTATGATAAATAACAAAAAGTCTTAATCTAATAACTCATAATCCATAATAATTATGAATATCAAATTTAAATTCTGACTTATTGCGTAATGTTAGTGTATAAATTAGAACAGTAAGAAATTTTATAAGTAAAAGTTTTTATTTCTTAAAATATTACCTGTTTTTTTATCAATGCTAATTGACACATTTGTTTTAAAGATCCCGATGAGACATCACTGCAAAAACAAACAAGCATAATAACACCGATATCATCCAAGATGAAGTTTAATAAGGACAAAGAAAACAAACAACGTCTAAATGATGACACAATAGACGTAGATATTAAAACTGTATTTCCTACAGTTGATACACTGAAGAATAATGTTAATTCTGAAGAATCTACGGTAGTCACAACTATGGACCATATTAAAGATGAAATAAATAATATTGAAATGAAATTATCAGAATATAACAAACCTTTAATATATACCACAGAACCTTCATTAATTTCTGAATTTACAACGGTCCCGTTTTATAATAAAAAGATAGATTCGAAAGAACTTGATAACGCAGAATTAACGGATCATAGAAAAATGACAACTTCAATGCCAACCGCAGAACCTAAATTGGGTTCCGAATTTACAAATTCCTACGTTAAAGAAACAACCATGATACCCTTTCACACGAAAAAGATATATTCGAAAGAATTCGATGACGAAGAATTGACAGTTCATACAAAACTGACAACTTTAATATCTACCACAGAATCTACATTGAATTCAGAATTTATAGACTCCTATGTTACTGAAAGAAGAATAGTACCCGTAGTTCAAAAGAAGAAGATAAATTCGAAAGGATTCCAGAATGGAGAATTGACTATTCATACAAAATTAACGAGGATAGCAAAAATTCCGTTACCTTATATCAAAACTAATTCTAGAGATGAAATTGACTTAGCCATTAATAATCACCGGATATCTTCGCTGTTGGATGACAACATCGTATTCAATCGCAGTGAGCCGATAAACACGGTAGTAAAATTTGGTGATAACAGTATTTCTGATAATAACTCACGAAAGGAAAGTGCTAATTTGACATTTAATCATTCAGATTTAAAAAGAGATTCGGATTTCCACAAATATGACAAACCTTATCCAGATCATTTCAATGACTTATTGGTATGGCACAATGACATTTTAAACACAGACAGGATCACAAGTCCAAGCTGGGAGATTCTCTTGAAAAACATAAAGCAACAAACTGATTATACAGGACCCAATTTAAGATATTTGCAAAAAGAAGTGGGTTTAATTAGAGAATATTTAAAAAATCATGCTCTAGCCAATTCATCCAATACTAATGAATACGAAACTTTCTACGAAATTAATGACAATAAAGTAAAATATAAAAAAATGATTGTACCCAAAAGTATTTTAAAAACGTTGGGTGTCGATGATAAAACTGATTATAGATATCGTCCGAAACAATATTTAAAAGCTGTTAATTCAATTAGAGATTTGAACAGGTTACAACTGAAACGTGGCTTGACGCCTCACAATACTACAGGAGTTCGTGGTTTCAAAAGAAATGGAGAAGAATTAATATCTAACACTGGTACGGATCTAATACTGGTAAAATATACGCTTGTTCAAAATTAGGCTGGTTACATCTACAAAGTCTATTAACGTTTGAATCATATTTTAGTTTGATCCCTTAGTTTTACTGTATCTTACTAATATTATAAACCCGAAAGTTTGTGAGTATGAATGGATAGTTAGATGGATGGATGTTTGTTACTCTTTCACGCAAAAACTACTGATAAAAGTTCAATAACAGTAATATAGCTTATATATTAATTAGAATAACATATAGGCTATAAGTTTCATGCAGTTGAAACCGCGGGCACAGCTAGTTACATATATAATGGAGAACTGCCCGTATATTAAAGATAATGATTATGGGACACAGTTACCTAGAAATAATAACTGCATTTAATAATGTCTAGTAAGACAAATCTAATATTGTCTACTAAGCACTGCCGTATCTAAACTGTGTCACCCCTCACCTTACATTTTCCTATTGTCATTTAGTATATAAGATCATTATTTCTATGTACATATTGTCAGTCAATTACCATCAGTAATATACATCGTCTCGACCAACAACATCGTATTATTTACCCGCAACAATAATAATAAAGCCTTTATTCAGATATTAATTGTTTACATTTTATTAGATTTCCTAACATTTATACATATATCTATATCTGTTTGCTAACAAGCATAGGCCTCCTCCAACAGTCTCCAGTGGTCTCTATTGTTAGCAGTTCTTGTCCAAGTACCACCTGCCACCACTTTGATATCATCTATCCATCTTCTGTATGCTCTTCCTCTTCTCCTTTTCATATCTTTTGTGTACCAATGCATTATTCCCAAAATAAAGAAAGAAGAATATTAAAGATAGCTAGAAATTAAATACGACATTGAGTATAAATAATATGCACTATACTAATGATGCACATTTATTTTCCATAAAAGTTGTGTAGTAATTTATTTATGTTTGTATTTCAGAATTAAAACCAGTTACTGTTGACAAAGAAATTGATGACGATACAACAGTTCTAGTCGACACCACACTTTTAGCGTACGATGACGCCATGACTAATGCTATGAACAATAAACATCAGCCGTCGTCATCGTGTAGGTTTACATTACGTTTTTGATCAGCACTTTAAAATAATTATATTAAAATTTTTAGCTTGTCGATTTTATGTTTTCAGTTCGCAAATTAAATAATTTGTCACTTAAAAATCCTGTTGGACTACACAAGACGAAACATTTGGTAAGGTGCAGTAACACCACATGTAGAAATATAGAAGATTGGAACATTTCAAATTACAATAACTCTATTTTCTGTTTACAGCTAACACCAGTTAGCAAAATGAATCATCCACCGCCTCAATATTATAGCACACCTCTGCCAATGAGAACGTATGATTTTGAAAAGTTTCTAAGGGACAATCAGTTGGATGTTGAGTCAGTCACTACTCCTATGATGGGGTTGCCATCTGCACTGACTTTGCTGAATAATAGAAGATCTTCAAAGGTTACCACACACAAGGGTAGTTCTACAAGTAAACCATTGAAGGACTCTCTTATAACAGACGTATTAACATTTTGTCGAGCAACAGCTGAAACGAATGAAATGCAATCCACACTTAGTACTGGCATTATAAAACCTATTAATGTCACAAAACATAATCTAAAGTCCGATTTATATAATGTTCATTACGATGAACTAAAAGAGAATGACGACATTTATGAATCTTTAGATGACAGAAACAAAATATACAACGATGTCTATGATTATAGTCCTATTTCATATGCTACCTACCCGTCAAGTAAAAAATCAGCAAAAAAGAAAAATAAAAAGAAATATTACAATAAATTTAAACTTTTTAATAAGAACAATTATGGAAAAGTAGATCCAGTATATAAAGAGGATCCCTATATTGGGATTACTTCGTTAATACATGAAAATGATGATAAAAACGTTGAGATAACGATAATAAACTTAGACAATGAATCAACATCAAATATATACTCGGGTAGTAAACAGAACGAACCCAAAACCAAAATAACCCAGGTTACCACTACACCAAGGAAACAACATGGAACTAATGACAATAATTTAAAGAGAATCCACAATAAGTTGTTATATGATGAGAAAAGTACACCGTTTTTAGAAAATGCAATTGTGGAAAAGAAGACTACTTATATTGAACCTTCGTTGAGTGCTCATGAGCCTCTCCAATTACTTTTTAATCAGTTGGGGTCACTGAAGCGTGCTGTTCCACCAAAAAGGGTTCAAACTAACAGTCACAGCTGCACATACGATTTCATTTATAACGACCCTCGACAGGATGTGAAATGTTAGTTTTATTATAAGTTAACTGAACAAGTCTTGATTTAAACTAATAAAACCATAAACTATGGTTTATGATTTACATATGTAATTACTTTTTTAAAATCGGTATTTTGATAAGTTAAGACAAATCATCATCATTACATAGTATAAAACAAAGTCGATGTCGCTATCTGTCTGTCCCTATGTATGCTTAAATCTTTAAAATTTCGCAACGGATTTTGAAGCGATTCTTTTTATTAGATAGAGTGACTCAGGAGGAAGGTTTATATGTATAATACATGTACACCCGGACGAAGCCGGGGCGAGTAGCTAGTAAGATATAAAAAAAAATTGATACGTAAATCCAAAACCATATAAAATTACAATTTTAAAACATAATCGTTTTGTGTTTCATGCAGACGTGCCCAAGCCTCGAGTCCACCAAACACGATTTGCGAGGGATCCATTTCTTGATAGTGAGTAAGTTATCTACAGCACTATTGTAACATCATCATTATTACATAGTATAAAATATAGTCGCTGTCTGTCCGTCCCCATGTTTGCTTAAATCTTTAAAACTACGCATCGGATTTTGAAGCGGTTTTTTTAAAAGATAGTGATTCTAGAGGAAGGTTTATATGTATGATAGCGCAAGTTCAATACTGAGGCTAACAGCATTAGAGTAGTCCGGAAAAAAAAAATAAAAAAATATAATAATTTTCTTTCTTTCGAGTATTTCGTTAAATTCTAATGACACTGACAAAGAAACCGCAGTCGCCATCTTTTCATTTCACTAGCATTTTCTTCAGTCGTTGATGTTTCGCGAAAATATTGTTTTTGACACTTTTTTATGGTATGTGTTTTTTCTTTAAACCTGAAATTGGCCGATTGCTAGATAAATTTGGCAATTTTTTTTATTAATTTGTTTTACGGCTCTGGATACAAGGTCTTTTTAGCCCAACTTAAGTTTTACAAAATAATAAAAATTATTTGTATAAAAACTTTTACACTTTTAATTTACTATATTTATTAAACACAATGAACGAAGCTTTACAAATCTATGCCTTGCTTACGTTTAATGTTCCATGAGAACCGATGACTACAGAAGTTCTACCCACATTTCACCCGAGCGAAGCCGGGTTTTCATCTAGTAATATTATATTATCTGTGGTAACGCTAATGAAGTTTTCAGAGCCACCGTCGCGCGTTTTGAACGGAAGACGAAATTAAATGAAACCAACCATGTAAAGAAACTGAATCGCTGTAAAAGTAACTATACATTACTCTTTAGTTTTTACTAGTTTTTATCCGCGGCTTCGCTCGCATAACTTCATAACTAACTGCAGGATGGCGCTGAAGTTGCGAAATGTTGATATTTTATTTTATTGTTTCTTATAAAAAATATTTGTTTTTTTTAATAAAAATTATCCCATGTTCATTTTAATACATCCAAGAATATGTGTAGAGAATTTCATGATGATCAGTTTAGTAGTTTTTGCGTGAAAGCGTAACAAACATGCCTACTTCGACATTTGAAATATTAGTAAGCATATCTCACATACCTACATAAAAACGAGAAATATCTAATACTGCTGCTCGTTCTCGCGATTTCGTCCGCGTGGAATTTAAGTTTTTTTTTTCTAAAAACAAAGATTTTTTTAAAAATCCTCCATCGTCATCAAATCGGCCATTTCTTTTAGCCATCTGTTGTACATCATTAACTTCAATAGCAGTTCCTGTTTAAGAGACTTTACTTGTATTTTTAGGTGTAACAACTTCTTATGTTATAATTATGTTTATCTGCGTTTATCTATACATATAAATGAAATTGGAATGTCTGTTTGTAATATTGAACTGTTTACTACATGCATATGAATATAAAAACGGTACATACACCACAATAACATTTTTTACAATTTTTGTCTGTCTGTCTGTTTGTTCCGGCCAATCTCTGAAACGGCTGGACCGATTTTGACGGGACTTTTATTGGCAGTTAGCTAATATAATAAGGAGTAACTTAGGATAAAAACGGTACATACACCACAATAACATTTTTTACAATTTTTGTCTGTCTGCCTGTTTGTTCCGGCCAATCTCTGAAAAGGCTGGACCGATTTTGACGGGACTTTTATTGGCAGTTAGCTAATATAATAAGGAGTAACTTAGGCTATTTTATTTTAGAAAAAAATAAAGTTATTTCCACGCGGACGAAGACGCATGTACAGCTGGTAGAAATCAATTTGTTTTCTAGTGAATCCTGTCCGCCTCGGTTTGACGAGAAAAATACGTGAGTGGCAGAATCAAGAGGTGGACAACACTGCACTGCGGCGAAAGAAACGGTTCAAATTTCTAACAAGTAAGGCATCAAGAATTTAGTTTTTAATTTAATGAATAAGCATTTCACTACTCTATGGATTTATACTATTTTGTTAGCTCGGAAGCCTAGTGTTGACTCATCGGCGACCAAACCGCCGATGAGTCAACACTAGACTTCCGAGCTGTACCCAAACTCTAATTAACACCTGATGATGCCTCGTTCAGAGGCGAAACACGTGTCGCGATATGGGTGTAGACTCAATAACGGTCGGAATTTGATCACTGGAGAAGGTCGTAGCGCTGGTCAGGTTTCCACACTGAATATTCGTAGTCTCACACATGTTAATTGTAGCGGAATCAAACAAAATAATATAAATACATCGAGTAGTGCACCGCAAAATAACACCTAATTCGATTAAATATATGAATAAGCATTTTACTTATATAAAGAGACGAGACTACATAGGGTTTATACACTAGCTAAGTTACTCCTTATTACATCAGCTACCTGTCAAAAAACGCCTCGTCAAAATCAGTCCAGCCGTTTTCAGAGATTAGCCAGAACAGTCAGACAGGCAGACAAAAATTGTAAAAAATGTTATTTTGGTGTATGTACCGTATTTATATTCAAATGCTTGTAGTAAACACAGTTACTTCAATATTACAAACAGACACTCCAATTTTATTTATATGTATATACAATGAAATGGTGCACCCGCCTGCGCAAACGGTTTACACTGGCGGGGCACCAGTGGAGGATGATAAGATGAGCATGAGGTCAGGTCAGTTAGCACATCGTGACAACCTCACCACGAACATATCATGATGGTTTCCAGGGGGCACCGCGTGGAGTTCAACCTGACATGGTACATTGCTAGTAATGGGGTCAACAGTCCACATTACCACAATCTCCTCTCCCCCACTCTAATGCTGTTTTTTTTTATGGATGATAATGGAATGGTGCACCCGCCTGCGCTAACGGTATACGCTGGCGGGGCACCAGTGGAGGATAAGATGAACATGAAGTCAGATCAGCTCAACGTGACAAATTCACCGGGAATTTATCATGATGGTTTCCAGGGGGCACCGCGTGGAGTTCAACCTGACATGGTACATTGCTAGTAATGGAATCATGAGTCCACATTACTAACAATCTCCTTTCCCCCCACTCTAATGCTGTTGGCCGCAGCTGGACTTTACAGCTTCACCGGACGATAGGGATCAAGTGCAGTTGGCAGTCCACACTAAAAAAAGGGGGTGGGAAATGGGATCATTGGTAATGTGGACCGATGATCTAATTGCTAGTAATGTACCATGTCAGGTTGACAACCACACGGTTCCCCCTGGAAACCATCGTGATAAATTCTCGGTAAATTTGTCATATGCTAACTGACCTGACCTCATGCTCATATTATCATCCTCCACTGGTGCCCCGCCAGCGTAAACCGTTAGCGCAGGCGGGTGCACCATACCATTATCATCTATAAAAAAAAAACAGCATTAGAGTAGTACGAAAAAATACAAACTATTAAACTACGTAAATATAATATTTACTTTCAGAATTTCAACACAAACTGCAGTCATATTTCAAAAAGTGTACGACAGCCACCACTGAGGCCGGGACCACCACTGACCACGCCACGGACACAAGTCGTGTGCCAGGTGCGACATAATAATTATATATATGGGTTATTTCAAAACCTTTATCTGAGTAATTTGGGTTACTTTTATATTAGAATTTACTTTCTTTACCTTTATCATTACATAGTATTATATAAAACAAAGTCGCTGTCGCTGTCTGTCCGTCCCTATATCTGCTTAAATCTTTAAAACTGCGCAACAGATTTTTAAGCGGTTTTTTTTAATAGGCAGAGTGATTATAGAGGAAAGTTTTGATATATAATACATGTACACCCGGGCGAAGCCGGGGAATATAATAATAAGTATGTATAATATGAATTTAAAATATATGTAAACAATAATAATTATATATGTATTAAACTATAATAGATACACTTACATGATAATATCAGTAAGATTCAGTTTTTTTTTTTTTTTATGTTTTTAACACAGTTATGTACTTCAATATTACAGACACTCCAATTTTATTTATATGTATAGATGTATATATAATGGAATGTTGCACCCGCCTGCGCTAACGGTTTACGCTTGCGGGGCACCAGTGGAGGATGATAAGATGAGCATGAGGTCAGGTCAGTTAGCCCATCGTAACAAATTCACCAGGAATTTATCACGATGGTTTCCAGGGGGAGCCGCGAGGAGGTCAACCTGACTCCCAATATAGTTTAGATCCGCTAGTTCGTCCCCGTGGATTTAACATTTTTTTATTACTACCTCGAGCGAGGTAGGGCCCCCTAATGAACAGCAGGACACGCTGAATCTTACTGATATTATCATGTATCTAAGTGTATCTATTATAGTTTAATACATATATAATTATTAGTGTTTACATATATTTTAAATTCATATTATATTTGTTATTATCTTTTAGCTTTCCCCTATTATGCTAACCTGTTCATTTTTCAAGCCGTTTGCCTAAGGTTGCCTTGAAAAGATTACTTTCAGCAATAAGGCCGCCTAATTGTAACTATACATGTTCTTTAATATATTGTTTATGCCTTTTTCTGTACTGTGTGTTACAAATAAAGTATATTGGATGTATCTATTTGATATTATAAATGAGAATGTTTGTGAATGTGTATGTATGGATGTTTGTTTACTGTTTCACGCAAAAACTACTGAACGGATTTTGATGAAACTACAGTAATATAGCTTATAAATAAGAATAACACGTCTATAAAATTCTCGTGTCACAGGTTTCGTGATTGTACTTCTCCGAAACGGCTTGACCAATTTTGATGAAATTTTATATGTAGGTCTGAGATAGGTTTGTAACTAATTTTCATACCCCTAAGCCAAAATTTTTATTTTTTCGACATTTTTATTTTTTATAATGTGGCATTAAAAATACATACAATCCTAAATTTTCACAAACCTTATTTTTCAATAGCGATTTTAATTTATATAACAAAACAATGTTTGTCGGGACAGCTAGGCTATAAATTTCACACGGGCGAAATCCGAAAACGTGGGCACAGCTAGTATGGTACATTATAAAAATTTTGTTTATATCATTTTAGAAACTACAAAGTGGAGGAAAGATCGCTGTAATAGAACTAGCGAGCCGGCTGAACAAGACAATCATGAGACCACACACAGTGCGCACACTGACACTTACTGTGACCTACTGTTACCAGACGGTCACTTGAAGTCGGGACACGATTTTGTTGCAGACGATATCCTATTAGATGTTAGTATAAACACATAAACATATTAACATTATTAAAATACAGACACCGTTGAAGCAAATTGGATGAGACTTTTACTCATAGATAGATAGATAGATAAAAATTTTATTCACGTTAAATGCATACACACACAAGGCACTGTAATAATAAGAACAAAAATAAAAACAGATGTACAATTACATTAGTCAAGTCAAACAAAATACAATACACAACAAATGTACAGATAACATAAAATGCAATACAGTTAACAAAAAAAACGGTATGAGTAACGTAGTGTGTGTGCATAGCCCATATGTAAAAAGGCAGCACCTCAGTGTATTGTTTGCTGCTTTGATAGACAAGGCCTTATTAAACAAATAAGGACATAAGGCTATAATAATAATATGAAAGAGGCCTTTACTCATAGAGAGGTCCTTAGTAAACAAATAAGGATTTAAGGCTATAATAATAATATGAAAGAGGCCTTTACTCAAATAAAGGGCCTTAGTAAACAAATAACAACCTAAGGTTATAATAATAATAATATGAAAGACGCATTTACTCATAGAGAGGGCCTTCGAAAACAAATAGGACTTCAGAGATTCTACACTCGAAATTGTCGATCACTACGTATATCTAGGGCAAACTATCCAGCTAGGTAGATCCAATTTCGAGAAGAAGGTGAATCGTCGAATCCAACTCGGATGGGCAGCGTTCCGGAAGCTCCGATATATCTTCTCGTCCAAATTTCCGTAGTGTCTCAGGACGAAGGTTTACGACCAAAGTGTGTTGCCAGTGATGACTTACGGCACAGAGACGTGGTCGCTAACTATGGGTCTCATGAACAAGCTCAGGGTCACTCGGAGGGCAATGGAGTAGTGCTCGTAGTTTCTCTGCGTGATCGAATCAGTAATGAGGAGATCCGCAGAAGAACCAGCGTGACCGACATAGCCTGAAGAATTGCGACACTGAAGTGGCAATGGGCAGGGCACACAGCTCGTTGGACAGATGCCTGTTGGGTCAATAAAGTCCTCGAATGGCGACCGCGGACCGGAAGACGCAGCCGTGGGAAGGCCTCCAGCAAGGTGGATCGACGATCTGGTCAAGATTGCTAGAAGGCATTGGATGCGAGCAGCGCAGGACCCATCATCGTGGAGATCTTTGGGGGAGGCCTATGTCCAGCAGTGGACGTCTTCCGGACTGCGATGATGATGATGATGATTGCTTTTTTTATGGATGAATATTGTATGGTGCACACCAATTCCGTTAATAGTATACGCTGCCGGGACACCAGTGTAGAATGTTTCGATGAGCATAAAGACAGGTCAAGTTCAAGTTGCACATCGTGGTGAATCCGCCGGAAATTAACAACTATAGTTTCCAGGTAAAACCGTGTGAAGTTCAACCTGATATGGTACTAGAAATGGGGCCAATAACCTAAAACAGATAATTTACTACAAATATAGAGTGTATTCGATTTAGTTATGTTAAGACGATGTAGAAACGTGATAAAGCTTGTATTATTATCATTTATAGTTTTGTTTTGTTTAAGATTACAACTATTGAACCAGAAGCGGTTTTACTAACAAAAATGAAAGCAACGAAAGATAAGGAAAAATCTGGAGCCGATGCCATCTACATGGAAGCTACCGAGACATATACGGAAGTAAGTCATTTTATATATACATATATTACTGTTATAAACATAATTATAATTATTACCAGCTGCTGAGTTTCACCATCGCACCACCCGCCAGAAACTAAAATACCATCCTGATCATCTGGATGAATGGCGGTCCTCCACAGTGCGGTTTTCTAGAAACTTTTTGCCTCGCACAACCACATTGTGGAAACACCTTCCAGCAATGGTATTTCCGATCCGATGCGATATTGAAACTTTCAAGAAAAGTGCTTATTCCTTTTTAAAAGGCCGACAACGTACTTGCAATTCCTATGGTGTTGCGGGTGCTCATGGGTGGCGATAATCACTTACCATTACGAGAGGCGCATACTCGTTTGTCCCCTGGTTAATTAATAAATAAATAGCGTAGAATAGAAACAATAGATTACCTAACTGACAAGGTAATTATTATGGTTGTATCCCAGATAAGATAATATTACATACTATGTGTCGGACATTTGCTCATGCCGTTATAAAAAATGAAAAAATATATCTGATTATTGACTCAAACAATGAGTGTTTTAAAATTATAATTATACATTCAACTCACTTCTTACACAATTTATTGTTCTTTTTTAAATATTACAGGTATACTACAAACCGTACATTACTAAGAAACATAAAATGGTATTACAAAATAAAGAAAGAAAAACCACAACGACTTTAAAAACTACAGATACTTCTAGAAACACTAATAAAGTAAACAAACCAAAAAATCTCTCCATGGAAAAAGCAAAGGCTTTAGTAAAACAAGTCAAAAGAAATGTATCTACGCAGAAAAGCTATACAGCAAAAAATGTAGCAGCATTAGAAGTAATTATAGATTTAGTTAGGAATACAGAATCCTACGAAGAAAAAGAAGAACTGAAGCCGAACCCCAATAGATTTATTCAAAATGTTAGAACAGAAACTACTGTGTTTCCAGAGTATGCTGTTGGAACGAATGCGATACAAGTGCACATAGCCATTCCGTACAACCTAAAAGACGATAAAAAGAGGTCATCAGACTTTCATAAAATTCGGAAAATTTTCGCGGCCAAAATGTCTACACCGGTTGATTTAGAATATCAGGTAAATTCTTTTGAAAATCATTTAACAACGGATACGGTGATAGATGAACCTCTGTCATCAGGTGCTTACTTATTGATCAATAATGGCAATGGAAATTTTGCACTTAAATCGATTACAAGATATCATAATAATTCTAATATTAAAGTTAGACAAGCCGAAGTAACTAAAACTACTATGATTAATCAAAATATTGAAACTACCAGTTCAACTAAAAATTTGGGTAAAGTTACATTAAGTAAAGATATTATAGCAGCAGTGAATAAGCATTTAGTAGAACTGTATGAAAACTTAACCGATTTGAATAACAAAAGTATAACCAATCACAATGTAAAGGCCAGAAATACTGAAAACTACATTAAAACGAGAAACATGACAATATGCAGACGACATATCGATTGGAAAGCTCTAAAGAAATACTTCTCTAATGAAAGAGTATGTAGTTGTCGTTGTAAAGCTAACCGTACAATGTGCAGAGCTTGTGCTGCAAGTGACGCAGTAATATCTGAATTAATATTTGAATTTAATAACATTGCTCAATACATGAAAGATCATTGTACTGAAATCCAAACATACTTTTGGATGAATCCAAGTGGTGGCAAGAAATTAAGAGATACGGTACATAAAGTGGATAAAAGTTTACAAGACTATTACAAAAGAGTTAAAGGAAAGTGCCAAGGACGCACTTGTAAAACATTTTCATCCTATATAGATAAGCGTGCTTTTGTGAAGCAAAAGAAATTGTGTAAAGATTACATCGGAAATCCACTTATACAAGATTTGCAGATGCTATCGGACGACTTGGAAAATATATCTAAAGTAAATGTGTGTCTTGATGAAAAATTAAAAGCAGAAAGTAAATTGCTCTTGACCGCCGTAAAAGACTGCATTTCTAAAACATCACAAAAAAGGTCTCCTATTAGTGCAACTACGGACCAAAAACCAATTAAACATGTGTATTCACTCGATAACATTAACGTCAACATCATATGCGATCCATCGGCTACTAATCTCTCGGAGAATTCTTATGTAACCACTGAGACCTCGATGAACAATATAATGACAGGACAGAAATCGATATAAGCACGTATGAAAGTGACATGTTCGATTATTATATAAACAATCATAAAGAAACTGACAAAAACTTTTTAAAACATCTATTTTCTCGTTGTAAATCTAAACATAAAAAACATTTGGCAATAAGACCAAACTATAAAAGAGAAGTTCAACCAGAGCAAATTGAAATTCCGTTAATAGCAGATACTGGGGGATCATTTTGGTATGATTATATTAATAAGAGAAATACGTTTGATCCCAGAATAGTGAGACAAACTAAAACAGATGCTAACGGTACGAATGGTAATTCTCAAAATAAAATCGAACAAGAAACAAATAACAACCTCATTTCAACTAAAAGTAACTCTTCAACTAAACAAACACAACATAAAAGTACAATGGCCGCCGCAGAGCAAAACAAGAATACACTAACAACTAATAATAATAGAGCAGGAGAAACAAAAATTGATGATAAACTTTATCGAACGGATTCTTCAGTAAACACCTTAAGTTTTGACATGAATAAACTTTTTAAAATATTTAGTAATCTTACAGATTTGAACATTGACAATATTACAGAACCATCAAATTCAAACTTTCAGACGAATCCAATATCGATACAGACAATTACAACTAGTAATACGAAAAATATCCTTAAATTGCACGAAAATGTTAAAGAAATAGAAAATAAATCACATTATAAAACTAATACAAAGAAAATGTCACATAAAGCTACAACTACAAAAAGCACAAAAACTGCCACTACTAATCCGACTATTCCAACAGGCACATCGAAATCAATTAAACCAAGCCCTAATGTGAATACTAATAGAACCAAACCTACAGCTATAAGTACAGAGTTACCATCATCAAGCATAAAGGAACTAAATCCGAAATTGACAACCACAGGTACTTTGTTCGGAAAGCTTAAACTCGCTACAGTAGACTTTATCAATAGTATAGGAAAAGAAAATTATGTTATTGACAATACTGCAGTAAATACAACTAAAATTAAACCTGTTAATGAAAAATTTGAACTGACAACACCGCAAATTAACATAAATACAATTACTAACTCCAAACTAACTGTTACATCAGAAACGGATGAATATATTATTACGACTACATGTGCCCCGACGTTAGTAATGAACGAATATTATGAAAAATTAGATTCAAATGTAGACAGCAATGAACATGTTGCAACTGAGAATGTCATTGAAAATATAAATGACTCCAACACGAATTTCGATGAGAACAATTTTAGAAGTCTTCTGCTCTCTATTTTGAAACTTGAAACAAACAAGTTGACTAAAGAATGGGAAAGACTTAGAAGATTCAACAAAATTAAAGCAACTGAAAATAGGTCAGAAAACTGTAATCATAATTTAGAGGTTCCCAAACTTTTTTTTGTCGTAGACCCCTTGCCATACTTTTCGGTTTTGGGTAGACCCCCATTCTTACCTGGTATTAATAATAATAATAATAATAATCTCAGGACAATTCACACAGAGCCATCTAGACCCAAGTTAAGCTAGCTAGAGCTTGTGTTATGGGTACTAGATAACTGATACATATACATAGATTTTTTTTTTTGTAAATACATTCATATTATACATAGAAAACACCCAGACCGATACAAACAATCATACTCATTAATACAAATGTTTGTGCCGTGCAAGGAATCGAACCCGCGACCGTATTGATTTGTAAATTTCTAACTGTAGTAAAGATTAGTGTTAAAAACTTAAACTCCAACTCCAATTAACTAACACTACACAACAAAGAACAGATACGAGATCGTTCCACACTGAGAAACCTGTCCAGATTTCTATGTAGATATTTATTAAGAAATAATTCTTTAATACCGACTATATAGACGAAACTGTACAGTGACCTCCAACAATCAATACATATAAATAAAATTGCAGTCTGTTTGTAACATTGATATAACCGTTTTTTACTACATGCATATGAATATAAATTCAAATGGTCGCGGGTTCGATTCCTCGTACGACTACAAACATTTGTATTCATGAGTATTATTGTTTTTATCGGTCTGGGTGTTTTCTATGTATATTGTGTATGTATTTACAAAAATATCTAAGTATTTATATCAGTTGTTTAGTACCCATAACACAAGCTCTGCTTAGCTTGGGACTAGATGGCGCTGTGTTAATTGTCCAGGGTTATTTATTGTTATTATCTTCGATTATCTAAATATATATAACTCAAAGGTGACTGACTGACATAGTGATCTATCAACGCACAGCCCAAACCACGGGACGGATCGCGCTGAAATTTGGCATGCAGGTAGATGTTATGACGTAGGCATCCGCTAAGAAAGGATTTTGTATAATTCTACTCCCAAGGGGATAAAATAGGTGATGAAAGTTTGTATAAAAACTTTATCAATTTTTAACCGATCGGGCTGAGACTTTGCTTGCATAAAGCTACTATGACGTAGGCATCCCCTAAGAAAGGATTTTGATAAATTCCACCCCTAAAGGGATAATTTAACGCGAACGAAGCCGCGGGCAAAAGCTAGTTTATATATATAATACATGTACACCTGTGCGAAGCCCAGGCAAGTAGCTATTATATATATATATATATATATATATATATAGATAAGATGTGCTCCTAGTACCTATATAATGTCACTGAAAGTATATGAAATTAATAAAATTTGAAATTAAATACATTTTCAGCACCAAGATGAAAACAACGATTTTAAGAAATACGATTAAGAAAAACGAATATATTCAAAACGATTTAAATAATATAAAAATGACTACAACTGTCAAAAGTAATAACGGTTTATTGAAGAAATTCGTCAAAAAATTTGGCCTACATAAAACCGAAATCAGCCAGGGTATATAGGTACGTGCGTTTTTATGAACTTATTTTTTCTTTAATATAATTTGACGAGCTTCATATCATTATCATTAATAATGAGTGCGTAGCGACTTCTATGTTGATTATCGCATGCCTCTTACTTGTTATACTGTAATTATTTATATGAAAAAAAACATCTATTAAAACACACAACACACAAGTTTCTTGCTCATTCTTCTTGTGATGAATCTGCATTCCGAATGAGTGGTGGAATCAAAATATGACTATTCAAAAGTGTTTGTAATGAGTTTATTTGAATAAAGATTATTTCTATTTCCTTTTTTATTTCATAATATCGACGTTTTGGGGGGGAGATGTGATTTTTAGTAATGTGGACTAATGAACCCATTACTAGCAATGTACTAGACTCTGGCAGTTTATTGTATAATCTTACGCAATTACCATAAAATGAATTACTAACTTTGTGTAGACGGCATTTAGGTAAAATTATCTTATTTTTATTGCGTAAGTTTCTACTATTATAGTCTTTAAATTTCTTGAAACTATCTGGCACCAGTGGAGGATGGTAAGATAAGCATGAGGTCAGGTCAGTTATCACATCGTGACAAATTCACCAAGAATTTATTCAACTGTACGTCAATTGTGCGCGTTACTAATGAGCCATGTAGCACACTATCAATGTACAATAAATAGTACAATTATTACACCTGTATACTCACTACCTACATAATATATTATGTAGCGACACCTCATCACATCATACATGACGCTATAGTGATGAGGTGATACCGTGATGTCCATCACGCTACAAATACATTTGTTCTATTTCAGATTCTCAACAAAACGAAGTATGACTCGTGGAGGGCGAAATCTCCTGCCGTTGCCCTCCACTTACTTCGACTAACTTATTAGCTATTTATATAGCCAATGTAAACATCCTAAACAATGTTATTAACAATATTTTTAAATTAACGGACAATATGGAATTAGCTAAATTTGTGATTTTGTTGTAGGTCATTTTGTTGTTGTGTTATTCTAATACAAGGTGTGTTGTAATTGTTTTTTTGTTGTAAGTGTATTTGTGTGCATGTATCTACCTACTGTTTACTTTTAGATATAGTATTACCCAGTAAGGAGGCACGTTAGTTAGTACCTATTTGCTAAGTGTTATATTGTTTCATTTATTAATTAAATTATATATATTTGTTACAAAGAAGTTTTATTAAATCGGTACCTGATCTAATACCTTTTTGTAGAACAGGGGCGGATCGTGTATTTTTGGGGCCCTAGGCTAAAACTTAGGGCCTACCTAATTACATTACTGAACTAAAAAAATACATTGGCCATAAAAATAAATAATAGAACTGCATCACTGATGTGTAGAATTCGGGGGAGCGCAAACAGCCTCCTAAACACCATATCCAATATGTTGGATTGTCCACTTCAGGGGCACTGGACATCGCTGCAATGCTGCGGACCTTCTGGACTTCAGGGCTTCTGGACGTGGACAAAGACATAAATATAAATATATGAATTAAATGTATAAATTTGTAATTTACTAACATAGTTGTTGTTTACTAAGTAATATCCGAAGTAAATGAAATAATAATAATAATAAAATAAACAAGCGACTGGGACATCCCTATTCCGTCACATCGACGTGCATATCCATGGATTGTTTAATCTCAGGGTTGTCAACCTTATGATAGATTTTTTAACCGAAATAATGCGGGGGGAAGGTGATTGTTAGTAATGTGGACTCATGACCCCATTACTAGCAATGTACCATGTCAGGTTGACCTCCACGCGGTTCCCCCTGGAAACCATCGTGATAAATTCATGGCGAATTTACCACGATGTGCTAACTGACCTGACCTCATGCTCATCTTATCATCCTCCACTGGTGCCTCGCCAGCGTAAACCGTTAGCGCAGGCGGATGCACCATTCCACTATCTTTCACAAAAAAAATATCTAAATATCGCATAGATATTGTTTTCAGTGGGGGCTGGGGCCTCTTTATTTTCACGGGGTCCTGGCCTGCAGCCCATAAAGCCCGTAGGTAGATCCTGTTGTAGAGACTAGGGTAGACTCTACTGCCCTTGATAAAAATGTCAAATATTAGGTTTCTAAGTTTTATAATTTGAAAATGCCAAACTTTTCAATTAATAGGTTATAATTTTTAAGTGTCCAAAAGGACAACATTTATGAGCAAAACCATGTCAAAGTATATCGTCAAATAGAGCCATCTAAAACAAAAATAGCCTAAGTTACTCCTTATTACATCAGCTACCTGGCAAAATAAGTCCCGTCAAAATCTGTCCTGCCAGTTCAAAGATTAACCGGAACAGACAGACAGAAAAAAATTGTAAAAATGTTATTATGGTAAAAACGGTTATTTCAATATTACAAACAGACACTCCAATTTTATTTATATGTATAGATAGTTCAGTGTTTATCTGTGTCGCGTAATAGCAATGAAATAGGGCGAACACAATATATCTATGCAGATTGCAGTGTTACAGGTCTAAAACACAGAGTAATATCTCAAACCTCTCTGGTGTCTAAAAGGGCAAATAATAATAGAAATTGATAGTATGTGATTTAAGAAGGCAAAATAATTGGATTACTCGATATCTTTCTGGAGGCTGGCTGTCCCCGCCTCCTTTATTTTATGCTGCACCAGTACATTCTGACACTTAACATTCATAATACATTTATGAAAATATAACGTAGATATACACGGAGGAACTTAGACAGTTTTAAAAAATTCAAAGACTGTACAAGTAGAAACTTACGCAATAAAAATAAGCTAATTTTACCTAAATGCCGTCTGCACAAAATCAGTCATTCATTCTATGGTAATTGCGTAAGATTTTATAATAAACTGCCAGAATATGCACTAAATCTGACAGAGAGGCAATTCAAATCTTATATTAAACAATTTTTGTGTAAGAAAGCCTATTACAGGATAGACGAATTCATAGACGACAACATATCAAGTAAATAATTAGTTTATTAGAATACAACGTTATAAATTTCGCATTGCTTTCTTGATTTAATTATTTTAGAAATATGAAAGCGTAGCGGTTTTTGTATTGATTGCCGCATGCATTCTTATGTGAAATGTGAATACTATAACTATCAGACGGCAATTGTAAGTAGCTTTGACGTAGTCTAGTGTTTTGAGTAGTCATGCTCACTAAAATGTCCAGACTTGTGGCGGCGTGGTGGGCCGGGTCATTGGGCTCCCTAAAATATGGTCGAGCGCAGTGATGGCTGGCTCATCCGTCATGCTCGTGAACGGGTGCTGCTTGTGTGGACTGGTCTGCTCTAATCACTATGACTGATTTCCTCTTATTAATTGTTTAACCAGTTGGTTGTATATTTAATATTTTATCTATTTAAGTATTTAACTGAATTAGTGCTAATTGGTAGTTTATATTCACACACTTAAACTTAAAAATGTTAGTAACAATAAAGTTATTTAAAAGAGCAACACGCAAGTTTCTTTCTCGTTCTTCTTGTGATGAGACAGCTTTCCGAATGAGCGGTAGATTAAAAAAATGTGATAACTATTCAAAAGTACTTCAATGTAAGTTTATTTGAATAAATGATTTTCTATTCTATTCACAAATAATTAATCTACATATTGTCAAAAATACTATAACACGGAATAAAAAAACTATAAACAACAACATTCAACGAGCTCCGAGTGTACATTTGCCCGGATCTTACCGATCAGGCTCGAGCGTAGTACTTCTGTCTCTTTCAGATTCCTTGTCAAGGAAAGGGACATACTTAGAGGGGACGTAACGAAAATGATAATAGGTATAAAGGCAGGTAAACACTCAATAAAAAAATGAAATAAATAATACAACTCGTAGATATTATACTTTTAATGTAAAAAGAACAATAGTTACGTCCATACAAAGTTCGTTACAAAAGCTATAATATATAACTAGCGCGCGGGGCCGCCGCACCACCACATATACATTCACAAAGAAATGCAACGTGTGCAACCATATCATAGAGTTCAATTTACAACAATCAGCCTATCCAATAAATTTGTATTACAGATAGCATGCATAATTATCCGGCTCCTATAGGATTAGATGGCCGAAAGCTATATAACATCACGCTACGGCCAATAGGATCGGAGCTGCTGATTAGAAATGTTGCAAAAGCGGGCACACAGTGATGCAGACAAGGTTGCGCGAGTCAGCTAGTTTAATATATTTTATATTATATATATATGTATATATATTTCAGGCAAATTTACTGAATGGATTTTAATATAACTTATACATCAGAATAACACAGGATATAATTTTCACGCGAGTGAAACCCCGGGAACAGCTAGTGTACATTAATATTGAATATAAAATGTTTGTTGTTGTCCGTACAGATGTAACGTTCTATTGAAACGAAGTATGTATGAGTCTAAAAGTCTGATATAATCTAAATAACTAAACATAATATGGCAACCCTGCCAACATTGATTTTGATACGTTATGCTACATGCTAGGTAGCGATATAGTAAAGTATCGGACACCGATCGGTGGAATCGAACCAGCATACCACGCTGGAGGAAACTAGTTAATTGCACAACCAAGAACAGCGGCTGGATTTTGCAAATTAGTTGGCAACACTTTATATTACAAACTGCTTAGCAGCTGTTACGACACGTTCCTTCACGGGAAAGCCAGAGCGCGTAATCTTCAGATTCTTTAAAATGCTCTGATGTCATACTTGCAAACAGTACGCGAAAGACTAAACACAATAAAATAGTAAATAGTTTAATAAATTTATTCCACAAATTATTCCGCCTAGATTTATTTTATTTATTTATTAAAACTTTAATGTATAAATACAAAAATAAAGGTGCAAATAGTGGACTTAACACCATAAGGCATTTTCTCCCAGTCGACCATAGGGCAAACAGAGATTAGTGGGCGGTGCATTATTAAGAAAATAACATGACAATAAATACAAGTAGGTTAATAAATAAAGGAAATATATATATCCAAATATACTTATATATGATACATAATATATAAAAACATATATACATATATACTAAAAACACATCAACAATGAATAGTCCAGTAAAGGCGAGAGATCATTTTGACAATTATATATGTATATTAATATATTTATATGTATGAAGGTATCTGCAGAATACTAGCGTCGTGGCACCCCGTCTCCACATATGCTCAGCGGAGACCTATTTGATACTATGATATTTATATAAAACTGTATGTAATTAAAAAAATAAAAATTATTTTTATTTTGGTTATGTACCAAATAAACTATTTTCTTTATTTCTTTCTTATTTCCAAAGACAAGTTTAAGATGTATACACTATCAATAACTCTACAATTGTCTTTGCTCCGTAGTCAGATGTCCGCCATTTTGCAATAATAAATATTTGGCGGTAAATACGGATGACTGAATGACGCGGGAATGTGCGAGTTCTCTTTTTCTACGTTTACATCTCACTCTTTCCCGTGTGAAAGCCTATAAGTGCGAGAAATAGAGTACGTGTAAAGATATTATATGACGGATTGAAGTGTCAAAAATTGAGTAACACATTTTGGTCCTTGACACAAACGAAACTGCACTCTAACACTTGTAAATAAGGTGTAAAATAATATTCTTTTGTTATCACTAATAACATTTTAATGATATATTTCAAGCCTATTTCAGTTTATATAGTTCAATACGGCGCTATAGAATTGGTCAAGTGTGAATATATTATCACAACGAGCGAAAAGAATACTAAGATCTGAGTTTCTTGTCAGTTCTTCTCATCTCGAAATCATTCCGAACTGACGGTAGATTTGACATATCATAAGAGTCTGTAATAGACCTACATGAATAAAGATATTTTGCTTTTGATTTTTGATGTATCGGACTTCCAGTTAGAAATGCCATGCCGAATATAATCAGATAATTTCTATATTTTATACTATTCCACTAAATAATATGTTTCATACACTGTATTTGAATTTATATAATCAGCCACAGTTCAGAAACTCCCTAATAATAACCTTCTTCCGGTGGCCACTATCGGGCGAGCCGTATGTCTGCCACGATACAAAGAAAGTCCATAGAATCCTATACGATTGTAGCTCACTCATGCATAAACGAAATATCTCCTTTGGAGAGTACACTCTATCCTGAGGAGATAAAGACCATAGCTCCTAAGAATATCCTTCAATTCTTGTCCCTGACGGAGAAAGGGCGAGCACGATAGACCCGTGTAGGTGCTACAGGTCTAGAGCCCCTGACAACAGCTGGAACCCCTCAATAAAAAACTCCATAGGAAATAAATATGGAAACCGCCGTCACGCGATACAAAACAGGGCGAGTACAATCTTCAGTGCCGCTCGGTAGGAGCGGGCGAGCAGTCACTGGGCGTCCTCGTCGGGGGCGACCTCGTGGGGGCCGTCTGGTGGCTCGTCCGCGTCCCGGGCGCGGGGGGGCTCCAGCTCGATGGCGGGGTCCGCGGTGGCCTCCGCCAGGTTGGTGACGGACTTGGACTTGAAGCACTGGAAGTCCACGTGGCGACTCTTGGCCTCCTCCTTCTCCCAGGACATGTGTATGAAGGGTCTCTGCACGTAGTTGTAGATGACCTCGGCGCGGCCCCCGGGTCGCTTGCGCACCTTCTCCTTGTAGGTGGGGTACCCCTCCACGCCCAGGCGGATCTTCTTCAAACCGCGCTCCTTCATCACCTGTTTTGCCACGTCCCTGCAAATCATGTTGATGTTCAATTATAAGTATAAAAATTGGTGGAATTTGGGAGGTGAATATACAATTCGTTAATTATCAATAACAAAGAACTATACTATAAAGAAGGAAACTATGGGACACAGTCACCTAGGTACATCAAAATAATAATTGCATTTAATAATGTCTAGTAAGACAATATTAAACTTGTCTTACTAGGTAACTAGGTGTCCTATAGATAATAATAATTGTTTCTGTGTTCATAATTAACATTTATAAAAGTGTGTAATGTAATTTTTTTCTCTCAAGGTGAGAATATCTATGGGACACAGTTACCTAGATACATCACTATCAATCTAAGTCTAAGTAAGTAATCAAGTCTAAACTGTGTCACCCCACCTTACATTTTCCTATTGTTATTTAGTATATAAGATCAATATTTCTATGTACATATTGTCAGTTTATTACCATCTGTATACATCGTCTCGACCAACAACATCGTATCATTCACCCGCAACAGAAACCATAACTTTTGTATGTAATAAACAAACGCAAAATATACTGATTCGGTTCTAACATTTTTTGGTCGTTTCGTACTTGTAAAAATATGCATTATCAGTCACACAACGTCGGATTTGCCTAAAAGATAGACCTTCAAGTAATGACTTTACATTTAATTATAGTAATAAACTAGTAAACATCCACGAAAGTCATCATCAATATTTATGAAAAATTCTTGTCTATTTTAGCTATTTCCATAGCATTATGTCGTATGGTATTTTGTTATGGGGCAAAGCAGTTGATATAAATACAATATTTTTTTGCTTTACAAAAGAGGGCCATTCGCTCCATTTATGTTATGGGTTCCAGGCAGTCATTGCGAGTGTTTTAAGGAATCAAATATCCTCACCGTTGCTTCTCAATACATTTATGAAAATATCATCTATGACAGAAGGAATATAGACAGTTTCAAAAGAGTTAGTGATTGCACTAATAAAAGCTTACGTAACAATAACAAACTGATTTTACCTAAATGTCGTTTGGCTAAAGTTAGTAATTCGTTTTATGGCAATTGCGTAAGGTTTTACAATAAAATACCAGAGTCTGTTATAAATCTGCCAGAAAAAAGATTTAAATGTCAAATAAAACAGTTCCTTTGCAAAAAAGCTTACTATAAAATTGAAGAATTCGTTAACGATAATGTTTTTATAGAAAAACTTTAAATCTATAGCACTGACAATATTATCTGATTACATTAATAATGAGTGCGTAGCGACTTCTATGTTGATTATCGCATCCCTCTTACCTACTTGTTATACTGTAATTATTTATATAAAAAAAAAAAACATCTATTAAAAAGAGCAACACACAAGTTTCTTGCTCATTTTTCTTGTGATGAATCTGCATTCCGAATGAGTGGTAGAATCAAAATATGACTATTCAAAAGTGCTTGTAATGAGTTTATTTGAATAAAGATTATTTCTATTTCTATTTCTTTACCAATATTCCTTCTTCTTTGGACTCCAAGATCAGCTAAATGATTTCTTCTGTTTCATTTGACGACCTCGGTGGTCTAGCGGTCTAGTCTACCGCTTTACGACCGATGGTCGCGGGTTCGATTCCTCGCACGGCACAAACATTTGTATTCATGAGTATGATTGTTTGTATCGGTCTGGGTATTTTCTATGTATAATATGTATGTATTTACAAAAAAAAAATCTATGTATATGTATCAGTTGTCTAGGACCCATAACACAAGCTTTAGCTAGCTTAACTTGGGACTAGATGGCGCTGTGTGAATTGTCCTGAGATTATTTATTTGACTTTGCTACAGCAACGAAAACATTTAAACAATTAATATTTTGTGTGCGTGTTTTATACCTTGTCCTAGTAGATACCTAGAAAGTATTACGACACATCCCCATACTGTACAACGGCGATCGGCGATTTCATTAACTACCTGTTCTCGATGTACTTGAAGAACCTGTAGAGCGGCGTGGAGAGCACGGTCTGGCTGTACTCGTCGCCCATCTGCGGCGGGTACTGCTCGTCCCAGTCGACGGAGTCCTCGTCGAGCAGCACCACCACGTGGCACTCCCTGTCTCCGCGCTGCGCAGACGCCACCATCAGCGGCAGGATCAGCCGCTCCAGGAACGACTCGAACTGACGCCGCGCGCCCTCGTTCGACAGCTCGTGCAGCAGACCGCGCAGGTTCTGAACACGCGCCGCAACATCACCAATTACACCAATTACATTCATATAACTGAAGACTAAATAGAAAGGAGCGATTGTTAAAGAAATTGGGGAAGGATATAAGTTTTACTATATAAGTGTAAAAGTAGTAGTAAGTAAAAAAGTTAATTAGAGATTTTTTCTAAAATAAAAGTAGCCTAAGTTACTCCTTATTATATCAGCTATAAAAGTCCCGTCAAAATCAGTCCATTTCAGAGATTTGGTGGAACAAACAAACAGACAGACAAACATTGTGAAAAATATTATTTTGGTGTATACCGTATTTATATTTATATACATGTTGTCAAATACGGTTACTTCAATATTACAAACAGACACTCGAATTTTATTTACATGTCTATACATGTAAATAAAATTGGAGTGTCTGTTTGTAGATGGGAAACAGAATAGAGTTGGAATAGTGCTAGATATATATATGAATGTAGATGGTTATAAGGGCAGAGGAAGGCCGAAAAAGAGATGGATGGACTGTGTGAAAGATGATATGGTAAGAAAGGGAGTAAATAACGAGATCACTGCGAACAGGGATGAATGGAAAAGAAAAAAAGAAAAACATATTATGACGACCACAAATAAATGGGATAGGGAAGGAGCAGATGATGATGATGATGATGATGATGATAATATATATGGCATACGACAATATTGTATAGATAGACTAGGTTTGTTACCAGTGTGTTGTTTACACACTAGGTCATATGTGACCGTTTATTCTTAAAAACTCGAGCTTGGCCAATCGGAATGTTTTTGAGTAGTAAACGATGGAGACCCGTCGGTCGACCTTCGATGAAATTTTGGTCTCGAACATTCAAGACGTTTCGAAGGAGTACCGTTACAAAGAGTGAAAATCTGATCTCTAACATCGCGCTCCGCTCAATAATTATTTTATTTGTATACTCAACATTCACAATTATCATTACATAGTATAAAACAAAGTCGCTATCCATCAAATTGACAACTGCCAACAGACAGAAAGAATTTAGGGCAATTCCGAAGGTATAACTTTCGAATTTCTCTCACCTGAGTTGCCATGATTAAAGTCGGGTTGTAGCCTGTCATTTTGAAAATGGGAGAAATTTTCAAAAGTTCATTTCGATCGAAATTTTCTGATAAGGGTTCGAGGGCCCTAAGCTTGAGCCCCGGGGCACTGCCCCGCTTAGCCCCTAGGTAGCTACACCACAGCCTACATACTACATCATCATCTGCTTCTTCCTTATCCCATTTATTTGTGGTCGTCGTAATATGTTTTTCTCTTCCATTCATCTCTGTTCGCAGTCTCGTTATTTACTCCCTTTCTCACCATATCATCTTTCCCATAGTCCATCCATCTCTTTTTCGGTCTTCCTCTACCCTTATAACCATCCACATTCATATGTAACACCGTCCTTAGGATATGATCTTCATTCCTACGCATTACATGCCCATACCACGATAGACGATTACTCTTTAACCTCTCTGACATCGGTGCCACTTTCATACTTCCTTAAGCTTCCATAAGCCTTCCATAAGCCTACATACTACAATAATAATATTATCTTATATATAAAATTCTCGTGTCAGTTTTCGTTCCCATACTCCTCCGAAACGGCTTGACCGATTCTCATGAAATTTTGTGAGCGTATTGAGTAGGTCTGAGAATCGGCCAACATCTATTTTTCTTCCCCCTAAATATTAGGGGTAGTCCACCCCTAAGTCTTTTTTTTAGACAAAATTTGTAGTTTCTATTTTTTTATGATACAACATACAAAAATACATACAATCCTAAATTTTCACCCTTCTATCATCAACCCCTATTTTTTTATAGCGTTATTAATTTATATGGCAAAACAACGTTTACCGGGACAGCTAGTTAACTATATGTAGCGACACCTCATCACAACATACATAACGCTACAGTGGTAAGGTGATACCACTGAGCTACAACACTAGTGTATGCACCTGGCAGCGGACGGTGTTGGCGTCGAATGGCACGAGCAGGTAGTCGCAGGCCTCGCGCAGCTCCTGCACGGAGACGGTGGGCGGGCAGCGGATGGAGCCCCCGCGGTAGTACTCCAGGATCGCGCGGAACACAGTCGCGGAGATGCCCTCCGCCACCTCGTACTCGCCGCGCTCGTTGGGGTGCGTGAACTCCAGCCCTGCGCCACACATCAACAAATTCAAAATATCCTTACTCATGTAGGTCTATTACAGACTTATGATATGTCAAATCTGCCGTCAGTTCGGTATGATTTCGAGGTGAGAAGAACTGACAAGAAACTCAGCTCGTATTCTTTTCAAATAAATGTTGTACATGTTCACAATAATACAGATTCATTTTTAAACTCAAATTTGTGAGAATAGCGTGACCACCAGCATATGTTATTGCAAAAACAAATAGTCAAAACAAAATAAAACAAATAGAATAGAGTTGAGAATCATTTATTACTTAACTAGCTACTCGCCCCGGCTTCGCACGGGTGTACATGTATTATACATATAAAACTTCCTCTTGAATCACTCTAACTATTAAAAAAACCGCTTCCAAATCCATTGCGTAGTTTTAAAGATTTAAGCATGCGGACAAACAGACAGCTATTTTATTTTATACTATGTAATAATGATTAAGAAATACATTAACAGTAACATAAATATTTAAAATCACTTAAAATTATTAGAAATAGAAATAATGTTTATTCAAATAAACTTAATATAATCACAAATAGTCATATTTTTATACTAACTCTCATTCCGAATGCAGACTCATCACAAGAAGAATGAGCTAAAATTAACTTTCAATATCAATAAATACAAGTTCAACCTTTGAACTCTATGCATAGTAATGTGTTCATGAACTAGCTGTACCCGCGACTTCGTCCGCGTGGAATTTAACTTTACTTTTCTAAAACAAAATAAACTTTCTAAAATAAAAGTAGCCTAAGTCACTCCTTATTACATCAGCTACCTGTCAAAAAAAGTCCCGTCAAAATCGGTCCAGCCATTTCAGAGATTAGCCGGAACAAACAGACAGACAGACAGACAGACAAAAATTGTAAAAAATGTAATTTCGGTGTATGTACCGTATTTATATTCATATGCATGTAGTAAAAAACGGTTATTTCAATATTACAAACAGACACACCAATTTTATTTATATGTATAGATGAATATATCAAGTTGATCACAAACCAAAAATCTGTGTCATTACTGATTCATAACACATTCTCAATATTAACACAAGCAATTTTCTCTGTTGAGTCACCCAAACAACAAGGTACTAGGAGCACATCTTATCTATATATATAATAGCTACTTGCCTGGGCTTCGCACAGGTGTACATGTATTATATATATACACTAGCTTTTGTCCGCGGCTTCACTCACGTTAATTTATCCTTCCTTAGGGGATACCTACCTCATCGTAGATTTATGCATGCAAAGTCTCAGCCCGATCAGTTTAAAATTGACAAAGCTTCATACAAACTTTCATCAACTATTTTATCCCCTTGGGGGTAGAATTAATCAAAATCCTTTCTTAGCGGATGCCTACGTCATAACATCTACCTGCATGCCAAATTTCAGCACAACCCGTCCAGTGGTTTGGGCTGTGCGTTGATAGATCACTAGTTACCTTTGAGTTATATATATATATATATATATAGATTCCTCTTGAATCAGTCTACCTATTAAAATAAATGTTTCAAAATCCGTTGCGCAGTTTTAAAGATTTAAGTATCAATAGGGACGGACAGACAGCAACTTTATTTTATATTATGTAATCTATACATATAAATAAAATTGGAGTGTTTGTTCGTAATATTGAAATAACCGTTTTTTACTACATGCATATGAATATAAATACTGTACAAACACCGAAATTACATTTTTTACAATTTTTGTCTGTCTGTTTGTTCCGGCTATTCTTTGAAATGGCTGGACTAATTTTGGTAGGACTTTTATTAGCAGGTAGCTAATGTAAGTTAGGCTACTTTTATTTTAGAGAAACAAAATCAAATTCCACACAGACTAAGTCACAGGAACACCTAGTGAAGCCAGGGCGAGTGGCTAGTAAATAAATAAATAAGTTTTCACTTTAACCATACCACTGTGTGTGACACCACACAACCTCATTTAGTGGGGAGAAAGGGGATTGTTAGTAATGTGGACTGATGACCCCATTACTAGCAATGTACCATGTCAGGTTGACCTCCACGCGGTTCCCCCTGGAAACCATCGTGATAAATTCCTGGTGAATTTGTCACGATGGGCTAACTGACCTGACCTCATGTACATCTTATCATCCTCCACTGGTGCCCCACCAGCGTAAACCGTTAGCGCAGGCAGGTGCACCATTCCATTATCATCCACAAGAACCTCATTTAGTGGAAGCCATTGAAATTAAAGAAGTTAACAGTTATTTCATAAATTATTAGTTCGTTCATAAACTCACCTGAACTAAACATCCTGCCGAGCATCGTGTTGGGGTGTGCGGTGAACTGCGCTGGGTCCACCACGAACCGCGTGTTGTCCACCACCAGTGTGATCCGGTCGTCCGTCAGCTGGTACTGGGCCTTCCCTGCCCTAGAAGACTCCTGCGTGGACGTGGACGGCGTCGGGGTGTTGGGGCTTGGCATTTTCGGGGGCATCGCAGGCCGACCCCTTATATTCGGCACGTTCCGCTTGGACAGCCGTTTTCTGCGCTCCTCCGCGTCTCTCCTGTACTCCTCGGTGTCGCTGCTGCTATCAGGATAGGAGAATGGTCTGCGGCTGTCGTTCATGGCCTGGGGGCCGTCAGCTTGGGAGTCGGACATATGCGCTCGCTCGTCCCCGCGGGCCCTCACATCACGATCGACGCTACTCTGTCTTCGAGACACTCTCGCCTTCGGTATTTGTTCCGTAGCCGTTGTTGTAATTAGTTAAAAATCATATAAATAATAAATAAAAAATATGTACAAAGAATGAAAATCTACAACACACTATTCACTGTCATATGCACAGAATAATAATGAGTAATGACATGACACAGGTCAATTCAGATCATAGACGAAACGTCAGGTTGATTTAACGTCATTATATGTCAGTCAGTCGCTAGTTGATAGATATGTATATATTTGCGACTTTAGTTCTTGTAGTTTATGTACTATTAAAAATAAAAACATAAAAAAAACACCAACCAAATATGGTGCTAAGTTCATAACTTAAGATAAGTAAATGTATATACATTTTTGTGTATAAATCCCTAACTTAGATTTTAGAATTGAAGTTAGTTTTAGGAACCCTAGAGAAATCATAACTAATTGAAATTTAAAAAAAAATATGTCGTAATTGTTTTTTTCGTAGTGCCATCACTACGTTTTTACAGTCGACGCAGCGAGACTGTTTACCATTAACGATGAGTTTTGTTAAAAAACAAATTATCTCTCACATAAACGATTGTAAACGTAAGCGAACGAAAATCTCGTTTACCAATTGACGACGTCGAAACGACGTCGGAACGGCTCACTAGACGAATAAACTAGTTTATCTGTGAACTGTAAACTAGTTTAATCGTTCACACACAAATAACAGTTTAACAAAACGGTTCGTTCATTCAACGGCCACCTCTACCTTGTAGCGCCGTGGTTGCGAATTCACGATTGTGAATCCGTGACGTTTGGAAACGGCTGTTGACCTTTTCGCTGTCAAGTTAAATGCGGAAATGTATTAATTTTCGTATTTTTTTATACAAACTCAGTAAAATTATATACTCACCAATGTGCTGTGAATATTATGTGATATAAATAAGTGAACCTGAATTCCGACGTTGAAACTACTTTCAACTCATCGAACTTGTTCTGCGCCCCCGTAGGGCGTGTTACGTTTTTTTATCAATAAAACTATATATGGATCACGAGGAGGAGTATCATGATCCGGACTACGCCGGCACGTCGTCCAGCATCAAGGAAGAGACCACGACCCTCACCGAAGAGGATAAAGTGGAGAAAATCAGAAATGTCGTTCGCCGGGAGTTCAATAGGGAATTGGAAGTGAGGGAGAACGAGATAATGTTGATCGACCAGCGGTGTGTATTACCTGCGGCCATTATTTAATTATAAACAGTGAATAAACATCCAATAGGTTACCTTTCTAACCGTTATAAACAAAAGATAGTGCCATGTGGCATTTTGTTTGTGTACGGCGAAAATTTTTTCGCCGGCGGTACTGTCATGTTTTCATAGATAACGCAACACACGGGCCGAAGCAGCGTCGGCGGCAACTCGTGCTGACTCATGATTACTCAAGTAATAATATAACAAACATGCATAACTATTTGCCATGACTAAAAGTACATTTATAGTGACTTTAGCAATCTATAATTAATTGCAATTGTTTACGTTTCGAGAGTAAAGTAACAAGACTAAAAACTAACAAATATTGTTAAATCTTCTCACAACAATTCACACATGAATACAGAGCTAGTGTTATAGGCATTAAACAAGTAATAGAAATAATTATTAAATTTTTCTGTAACCTACATAAATATATAGTACATAGATAACATACAAATCAATACAAACAATCATACAATATTGTATGGGGTCATAAGTTCTTATCATTGACTTAATGCCTTATTTTCACAATAATTTAATATGTTAATTGTAGTTGTTTTTTGCAATAAGTAAATAACAATAATTATTGCTATATAGATATAAGAAATTTTGAATATTAGGTAATTTATTTTATTCTACCATACATTTATTTGTATGTACCAGCAGACTGACAAATTTATACAATATTACAATATTATAAGTTCACTAACAAATTATGCTGATTCTTTTTAATAAACTATTGATGCTTTAGTTTACTACCAAGATTCCTACTAAATAGAGTGATTTTTATTGTATCAACATAATATATAAACATATCTTAGTTATCAAACACAGTCCCCTGTTCTGTTTGTCTGTAGACACAAAGGCCTCCTCCAGTGTTTTTCATCACTCTTCATCAGACCTCATCCAGGCTATATCTGAACTCAATGCCCTGTGAGGTCTCATTCAGAGGCAAAATGTATATTGCAATATTGGTGTCAACTCAATAACTGTTGGAATTCGATCACCAATAGAGAAAGCCATAACACTTCCAATAAAGATAGATAAGATATGTAGACTGACTTTACACTGAACTTCAATCTATACCAGGAATTCCATGAATATTTCAAGACTAAAATTATCCAAATTAGTTCAGCCACTCTCGAGTTTTAGCATTTTTATATATACATATATATAACAATGGGGGCCCCTAATCATCGCGGGGCCCTGGGCACGTGCCCAGTGTGCCCAGTGCGGAAGAGGGGCCTGCCCACATCTATACATATAAATAGAATTGAAGTGTCTGTTTGTAATATTGAAATAGCCGTTTTTTACTACATGCATATGAATATAAATACGGTACATACATCAAAATAAATTTTTTTTACAATTTTTGTCTGTCTGACTGTCTGTTTATTTTGGCTAATCTCTGAAATGGCTGTACCGATTTTGACGGTACTCTTATTGACAGGTAGCTGATGTAATGAGTAACTTAGGCTAACTTTATTATAGAAAAGTAAAGTTAAATTCCATGCGGGATACAATAATATAAATCAATAAATGTTTGTTGTTGTAGGATGTGTACGTCGCGCCGTATGCTGCACCGGTTGCGCTACGTGCTCGTGGATAACTACTTCCACGAGCAGAAGCTGCAGCTCACCGCCGGCAAGGTGGAGAGTGAGGTGGCCATGCAGCTGGAACCCAGGGCCAGAGCCGAGGTTAGAAATATATATTAACCACTGTGCCCGTAATTTCATCCACTTTAAATTTGTAGTTATATGTTATTCTGAAGTATAAGCTATATACTATAAAGTTACATGTAAATCCGACATACCCGACGACGTCGCCCGAGACACGTTCTTATTGATCCCCACGACCCCACGGCAGTCAACGTCTCGACCACACTTTTACATACACCCACTACACCGTCCTCGCCGGCGAAGACGACGACCTCAAACACAAAACACCGCGCAATCAACCGGGCAGTCCACACCGGTGCCCCGGTCGCTCCCCCCCCCCCCCCGCCCCCCGCCCCATCGATCCCTCGTCCAATTTAAACGGGAATCGAAATTATGACGGTCTGAGCCGAGGTTCGAACCTCTAGCGGTGTCCTCACACTAAAGTCCTATCCATCAGGCGGAAGTTGACCTTCAGCCGCTCCATAAGTCCTTCCTTTGTCTGGAGTGCCTTCTGCACTCGCCCCCTATTGTCCGGTCAAGCTGTAAAAGCCAGTTGCTCCCAACAGTACAAGAGTAGTCCGAAAAAAAACATGCAAATCCGTTCAGTAGTATTTGAGTGAAATAGTAACTAAAATTCATCCATCATCCATCCATCTGTCCATCCATATTCTCAAACTTTCTTACTCTCAAAAGGATCTGTAGGCAGGGGCGTAGCTACCGCCGTATCAAGTATACGGGGACCCCGGACTACGGGGGCCCCCAACGTGCGTAAGCAAAAACATTGTTCACATCACACACTTTCACGAAGGACGAAGGGCCTCGCCAATGGGTAAGGCGAAAAAAAAACTCTGACATCATACATTTTCACTAAGGACATAGGCCTCGCCAATGTGTAAAGCGAAAAAAAAAAAATAGCATCATACATTTTCAATAAGGACATAGGCCTCGCTAATGGGTAAGCCGGAAAAAAAACGTTAGCATCATACATTTTCAATAAGGACATAGGCCTCGCTAATGGGTAAGCCGGAAAAAAAACGCTGGCATCATACACTTTCACGAAGGACAAAGGGCCTTGCCATTGGGTAAGGCGAAAAAAAAACGTTAGCATCATACACTTTCACGAAGGACATAGGCCTCGCTAATGGGTAAGGCAAAAAAATAATCATCGTTCGCATCACACTTTCACGATTTCTTTACCCTTCGTAAGAGCCCCCAAACAAATTTTTATACTCCAAGGTACGCTACACTTCTGACGTAATATATTTTTGAGTGTGTGATCACCAGGTGTCGGCCGTGCTGCGTAACGATCAGCGCCGGCTGCACCCGTCGGTGAGGAAGCTGCTCGGCAAGGACACCACGGACCTGGACGAGATATTCCGCAACCGGGGGCCCAGGAACAAGACCAGGAAAAATTACTCAGTATGTAAACTTGTCTATATATATCAATGTTATAAATAAGAAAGACACGACATTTTTTATTTATTTTTATTTTTATATATACCTACTGTTTATATATTAAAAAAAAATATTTGACATTTTTTATGTGACATAATACTAGCTGCTCCCGCGACTTCGTCCGCGTGGAATTTAACATTATTTTTCTAAAATTTTATTTTAATATGTCTAAAATAAAAGTAGCCTAACTTACTCTTTATTACATCAGCCACCTACTAAAAAAAGTCCCGTCAAAATCGGCCATCGGCCAGCCATTTCAGCGATTACCCGGAACAAACAGACAGACAGACAAAAATTGTAAAACTTGTTATTTTGGTATACACCACATTACATATGTACCGTATTTATATTCATATGTATGTAGTAAAAAACGATTATTTCAATATTACAAACAGACATTACAATTTTATTTATATGTATAGATGATTATTATTGTCATCATGTGCCATTAAAAATGTCATAAATTACTACGTTTATTAATGACATGCTTCTATGGGTATAGAAGTGTTTCCTGTGGATGGTAACCACTATTAACATGTAATGTGCAGGCGATGGTGCAGACGCGCAACTATACGGTGTCTGGCGACAAGGGCCGGCCGCCGGCGGAGTCCCCGGAGCCCCCGGAGGTCCCGGAGCCCCCCCCGGGGGCGGCGGGCGGCAGCAGGCCCCGCAAGCTGCCGCGACATATCGAACCCAAACCACAGAATGTATGCACGCTGGACGCCGCCACCAGGAACAAGATGAAGCACAGATACAGAATCATTATAGGTGAGTCAACCACTTTGAAAATATGATATAATAATAATCTTAGGACAATTCACACAGCGCCATCTAGACCCAAGTTAAGCTAGCTAAAGCTTGTGTTATGGGTACTAGATAACTGATACAAATACATAGTTTTATTTTTTTTGTAAATACATACATATTATATATAGAAAACACCCAGACCGATACAAACAATCATACTCATGAATACAAATGTTTGTGCCGTGCGAGGAATCGAACCCGCGACCATCGGTCGTAAAGCGGTGTACTAGACCGTTAGACCACCGAGGTCGTCAAAGAGATATGAGTTTGTTTTGTATGTAACACTTTATTGTACAGTAAATACTGTACTGTTCAACCTAAACTTGTTTCCCAAGAACGCCCATACGTGTTAAAGACACAAGTTTTAGTTAGGGCAGACTGAATTACATGTGATTGAAATGAAGATGCTAAATGTTAATCATGAACAAAATACGTGGAAGTCCGACTTACATAATCCCTAAAATATGGTCGAGCGCAGTGATGGCTGGCTCATCCGTCATACTCGTGAACGAGTGCTGCTTGTAGGGACTGGTCTGCTCTTATCACTACGACTGATTTAATCTTATTGCATATTTATATTTGACCCAAAAATTAGTGCTTGTTGGTAGTTTGTATTCACACGTTTCGACTTGTAAATGTAAACTTACAAGGATTATTTAAAAGAGCAACACACAAGTTTCTTGCTCGTTCTTCTTGTGATGAGACAGCTTTCCGAACGAGTGGTAGATAAAAAACAAATTGTTATGACTATTCAAAAGTGCTTAAATTAAGTTTATTTGAATAAATGATTTTCTATTCTATTCTATTCTACATAGTTACAAAAAAGATTTATCATGTTTTTCGGACTACTCTAATACTGTTCACCGCAGCTGGTCTTTACAGCTTCACCGGACGATAGGGTGCGAGTGCAGATGGCACTCCAAACCAAAGCAAGGGCTTATGGAGCGGAAGCTGAAGGCCAACTCCCGCCTGACAGATACGAGTTTAGTCTGAGGGCACCGCTAGGGGTTCGACTCTCGGCTCAGGCCGTCGTAATATCGATCCCCGTTTGAATTGGACGGGGGATCGATCGGTGGGAAGAGGTATCATGTGAAAATTAAGACTCAATGACGAAGTAGAAATTTCTAGTGACGAATTATTAGGAAAGTCGATACCAATTAAGTGGGAATAAGGCTGGAGTAGTTTGCATTATACGAAAATGTAAATTTTTTTAATTCAAACAAAGAAAGGGAAGCGTAAAATAAGTAGTACGTTTGTGCTCGAGAGTTGCCGCCTCATCTGAGTCGGTGCCCTATATTTTTGTGTTGATTAATATAAAGACAGCAATGGAAACAAAAGTTTACGTGAACTTTGATAATGTTGTGGAAACTACATAGAATGCTTTAAAAGTAATCGTAAAAACATAGATTCAACAAAGCAGTATCGAAGGTACTACCCCGCTGCAGCTGGTATTATTGGGAAATTTAACATTTATATCTGTCAATTTAGTTTCCGAGAATAAAAAACATATTATATGCGAATCCGTATCGTGCTAGTCCACAAAAGAATCGCCAGAACTATTAACTATTACAGATCAGTGAGACACATCATATGTGTCTGTAATAGAGTAACAATCGTATCTAGTGTTAGCGATCCGCATGTTATATGTTCGCAGGCAACACGTCCAAGTACACGCCCCCGGCGTCCCGAGCGGACCGCGCCACGCACACGTGGCTGCTGTACGTGCGAGGACCGCCCGCACGACCGCAGCTCACGGCGCTCCTCACACACGTGCGCGTCAGGCTGCACCCCTCCTACGCGCCGCACCACACCGTGCTCGTGCAGTGAGTACACTACACTACACTACACTACACTACACTACACTACACACACACGTGCGCGTCAGGCTGCACCCCTCCTACGCGCCGCACCACACCGTGCTCGTGCAGTGAGTACACTACACTACAGTACAGTACAGTACAGTACAGTACAGCTAGTGTATATGTATAGTGTTTGGTTGCGTGCAGTAAGCCCCCGTTCCACGTGTGCCGGCGCGGGTGGGGCGAGTTCCCGGCGCTGGTGGAGCTGCACTTCCCGCTGCCGGACCGCAACCCGCCCGCAGCAGTCACGCACACCATCAAGCTGGACCGGGACTACACCGGCCTGCAGACGCTCGGTACGTACGCCCCGCACTCCGACCACCCCTCACACCCCTCACACTCCTTGCACACCGAGTACCCCTCGCCACACACCACTCTCCTGTAATGACACCCTCATGCTGGACAGTAAGCGCACACTATACTGTTCAAAACAGATATTTCGTTTATGTATACACTCATTGCTTTTGCAATAGCATATGCTGGTGGTCACTCTATTCTCCCAAATTAGAATTTAAATTAATCTGTATTATTGTAAGCATGTACAACATTTATTTGGAAAGAATACGAGCTGAGTTTCTTGTCAGTTCTTCTCACCTCGAAATCATTCCGAACTGACGGTAGATTTGACATATCATAAGAGTCTCTAATCCTATATGAATAAAGGTATTTTGAATTTGCATGGGTAGATTACGACCACATAGGATGTGTAGTAGCTTTTCTTTTCATCAGGGGAAAATCCAAAGTAAAGGGCGAGCACAATAGATCTTTGCAAGTCATAATGCTACACGTCTAAAATATCTGGCAATAGGTCAAAGTCCTCAATAAAAAAACAGTAAAAAAGTGTGCATGATCTTACATTTTGCTACTCTACTTTTTATTATTGGGTTTTTTGGGCTATTGTCAGATGTTTGTAGCACCTGTAGCACTGCGACCTACATAGATCTATTGTGTTCGCCCTTTTTCAAAGTTCGCTGCCTAGACCCATGAGGGACAAGAATTGAAGGATATTTTAAATTTTGTAATATAATTGCTTAATTTTAAATAAGACACTACATCAAGCTACTTACTGGTGACGCATAGTACACACATACCAAGAAAATGTTATTATCTAACAACTTTCAAATGTAATTTTTGTGGTTTAGGTGGGGAAACAATAGTAGACGTGTGGTTGTACAGTTCGCCGGAAATGTTAAAGTACGAGTTTAAAGAGGAAGACGAGGAGACACCGGCGGAAGTGGTCCCCAAAGAGCCAGAGATCAAAACCGAGGTCCCCGAAGAGGATACGGAGTGGATGAACTTCTTCAACAATGAGCCGACGGAGTTGGATGTGGACGCTATGATCATAAAACCTAACAAAGACAACGATATTAATACAAAAGACGTAGATGTAAATACAGCTAAAGTTAAAGAAGAAAATATTACAGATCTAGAGCCTTTAACGGAGAGTGCAGCCCAAAATGAATGTACCGACGAGGAACCGAAACAGAATGATTCCTCAGTAAAGTTGAGTTACAAATGTTTGGACTCGCCCACAGATATACCGAAAGAGTTACTCAACCAGCCGACTTCCTTAAAGAAGAGAATAATGAAATACATAGATCCCACGACGGGTAAGATCTACTATCTAGAAGTGGACCGGAATTTAGATCTGTCTAAATGGCACGAGATTATTATAAATAACACGAAGATCGCAAAATTGAATCCAATCAAATCGAATGGATTGAAGAATGTAAGGAAAAAGAAAGGAGTGTCGTTGTTAAAGCCAGAAGTGCAGAACTTGTTGAAGAACGATAGCAATAACTTTAATATATACTCGCATATAGAGAATGACCATTGTTATTTAGCTTCCAATTGGAAGAAAGCTAGTGATTATAATGAGACTAGAATTTTAGAGTACGTCGAGCCAACCATAGAGGATACGGTTGTTAAAGAGGAAGAGTCGCTGTACGATTGTCTGTGTGGAGCGGTAGTTAGACTCACTAATGTTCGCATGGCTGTCGGATACTTGCTGAAGAAGATACCTCTAATAAGCGATGAAGCGAGGGATCCAGATTTCCTAAAATATTTCCCATTTGTGGTGGAGAACGAACAGAAGTATTGGAAGTTGGATATCGCGAAACGGAGAAATATTGAGGTAATTTGTAATGTTAATTTTAGTTACTGACAATGTTTTGTTGTGTTTTTAATTATTAAATTGAACAGAGATTAAGTGCGTGGCGGTTTCTATGTTGATTGTCGCATGCCTAATCCTTGTTAATGTAATTATAATTAAATGAATATTTATTTAAAAGAGCAACACACAAGGTTCTTGCTCATTCTTCTTGTGATGAGTCTGCATTCCGAATGAGGAGTAGAATAAAGAAACTTAACTATTCAAAAGTGCTTATATTAAGTTTATTTGAATAAAGATTATTTCTATTTCTATTAAATTTTTGTTCAATGGATAGACTTAAAGTTATTATCATTTTCTAATTGTATAGGCTCATCTAAAGGAATTCATTATTTATGTTATCATTAGAGACTTGCTATTTCAGGCAATGTGGTCACTCAATCTCCTTCCCTCTGAGTCATAAATGCTACCAACAACCTCGAACCTCACAATTCGATGTTTTACTGTTCATATATACAGGCAACAGTTGACACTTACCGTCTTGTGACCGTCAGATCTTTTACCTTTGAAATTACATAATATTTTTAATTTATTTTTCAGTGGTCAAGAGCGAAACTAATAAACAAAATTCTAACAAATCACCTAGTCACAAAAGAGCAGATATGGCGAACAAAGCAGATCCTGGTGTACTCTCGGCTGCACGGCTACCACGAGCTGCGACCGGAGGCCGACCAGCCGCCGCCGGAGACCGACGAGTGGTCCTCCTGGAACGATCTCGAAAATTCCAGAAGGATGGAGTCCAACATCCGGCAGATATACCCGAACGCGGCGGATATATCCAGTCTTAGTGTGTTCAATAGTGAAATATATGACAATAGCTTATCGGAGTCCATCGAAGTGACGGACTCTGATGAGGAGGTGGATATAGTGCAGTGTGAGTTGCCAGTTAAAGTGATAAAAGAAATAAACGAAGCCCCCTCCGACTGTGATAGTGGTCTGACAGTGTTGCCAGTGGAGGACGAGGATGACAGACTGAGGTTCATGTACATAGAGAAGAAGTGCGCCGACATCGGTATAGAGCTGAGGAATGAGGATGTTGGGAACGGATACTCTTACAGGTGAGGAATGTCGCTACATTTGTAGACAAAAAATATTAAAGAAAGAAAGAAAGAAAGAAAGAAAATATTTTATTCAGTGCAATGTAAAAAATACAATATAAACAACAAACAGAAAAAAAAGAGCAAATAACATGTACATATAATTAAACTTAATTTACCATAATTAAAAAATAAACATAAAATAAACATTTTTTACATCCAATAATGCACTGAAATGGCTCCACTCAGCTTTAATGTATGTCCTAGGTGAACATACAGCTGGATATTAATCCAAAAACTTGACTTGCATAAGTCACTAACTTTTATGATCCTTAGAATTTGAATTGAATTGATATACTTAATAGTAATATTTTGTAGGATTCACTGCTCTCTGTCAGCCTTTAAACTGCAATAGAGATTGTGAAACAAATTACTGGCAGTAAAAATAGGTAACAAAGAGATATAAAGGACTTTATACAAAGTGCACCAGTCAAATCAACGCAAAAGCTGTTTTTTTTTATTTCGGATTATGCTAATACTGTTGTCCGGAGCTGGCCTTTACAGCTTCACCGGACGATAGGGGGCGAGTGCAGATGGCACTCCAAACCCGCGGAAGGAATAGAATAGAATAGAAAATCATTTATTCAAATAAACTTACATTGAAGCACTTTTGAATAGTCATTACATTTTTTAATCTACCGCTCGTTCGGAAAGCTGTCTCATCACAAGAAGAACGAGCAAGAAACTTGCGTGTTGCTCTTTTAAATAATTTATTATTACTTTACATTTTTAAGTTTAAGTGTGTGAATACAAACCACCAATTAGCACTAATTCTATTAAATACTCAAATAGAAATAATATTGAATATATAACCAACTGGTTAAACAATTAATAAGAGGAAATCAGTCATAGTGATTAGAGCAGACCAGTCCCTACAAGCAGCACCCGTTCACGAGTATGACGGATGAGCCAGCCATCACTGCGCTCGACCATATTTTAGGGAGCCCAATGACCCGGCCCACCACGCCGCCACAAGTCTGGACATTTTAGTGAGCATGACTACTCAAAACACTAGACTACGTCAAAGCTACTTACAATTGCTATCTGATAGTTATAGTATTCACATTTTACATAAGAATGCATGCGGCAATCAATACAAAAACCGCTACGCTTTCATATTTCTAAAATCAATCACTTAAATCAAGAAAGCAATGAGAAAATTAAATTATAACGTTGTATGCTAATAAACTAGTTATTTACTTGATATGTTGTCGTCTATGAATTCGTCTATCCTGTAATAGGCTTTCTTACACAAAAATTGTTTAATATAAGATTTGAATTGCCTCTCTGTCAGATTTAGTGCAGATTCTGGCAGTTTATTATAAAATCTTACGCAATTACCATAGAATGAATTACTGACTTTGTGCAGGCGGCATTTAGGTAAAATTAGCTTATTTTTATTGCGTAAGTTTCTATTTGTACAGTCTTTAAGTTTTCTAAAACTGTCTAAATTCTTCCGTGTATACATGATATTCTCATAAATGTATTGTGAAGTAACGGTGAGGATATTTGAATCTTTAAAACACTGACGTAATGACTCTCTTGAACCCATACCATAAATAGAACGTATGGCTCTCTTTTGTAAAATAAATATAGTATTTATATCGGCTGCTTTACCCCACAGTAGTATACCATATGACATAATGCTATGGAAATAACTAAAGTATACAAGTTTAGCCGTCGCCACGTCTGTTAGTTGCCTAATTCTTCTAATTGCATATGCAGCTGAACTGAGTCTATTGGCCAATTTTGAAATATGGGGCCCCCATTGTAATTTCGAGTCCACTGTTATACCTAAAAAAACTGTATCATTAACAAAATTTACTATTTCATCATTAAGCAATAACTGTGTATTTATTGGTCTTACATTAGGAAGTGTAAATTTTATACACTTTGTTTTGCTGGAATTTAATAATAGGTTATTACATGTAAACCAATTTAATATAGCAGACATAGCACAATGAAGGACTTATGGAGCGGCTGAAGGACAACTCCCGCCTGACGGATACGACTTTAGTCCGAGGGCACCGCTAGGAATAGAATAGAATAGAAAATTCTTTATTCAAATAAACTTAATTGAAGCATTTTTCAATAGTCATAATATTTTTTTTAAATCTACCGCTAGGGACTCAAATCTCGGCTCAAGCCGGCGCAAGCGGTGCCCTCAAAGTCACATACGTGAGTTGTAACTCACGTATGTGACTTTAAGGGCACCGCTAGGGGATCGAACCTCGGTCCGGCCGTGGTAGTTCCAGTTCCCCTTTCTAAATTGTACCCGCGTTCGATCTGAGGGAAAGTTAAGATGTGTTTGTACAGCGCGGTGCACGCGGTGGTGTCCGCGGCGACGCGTTGTTACCTGGACGACCTCCTGCGGGCCGCGCTCGCCGCCGCGCGCCGCACGCCCACTCACCTGCCGCCGGTCTGGACCGGGTCAGTCACACACCATTATTTTATACTGAACACTAACTAACCACCCACAGGATGGAACACTATAACCATCACCGTTATCAGTATTTAGTAACATTTATTTGTATATATATAATTTATTAGATTTTATTAAAATTTGTCATCATCATCTGCTTCTTCCTTATCCCATTTATTTGTGGTCGTCGTAATATGTTGTTCTCTTCCATTCATCTCTGTTCGCAGTCATTCCGTTATTTACTCCCTTTCTTACCATATCATCTTTCACACAGTCCATCCATCTCTTTTTCGGTCTTCCTCTACCCTTATAACCATCCACATTCATATGTAACACCGTCCTTAGGATATGATCTTCATTCCTACGCATTACATGCCCATACCACGATAGACGATTACTCTTTAACCTCTCTGACATTCTCTGATTAAAATTTGTATATATATAAAATATTTGAGTAAAATACAATTATAATCTCAGGACAATTCACACAGCGCCATCTAGACCCAAAATACGCTAGATGAAGCTTGTGTGATGGATGACAATTGATACAAATACATAGATTTTTTTTCGTAAATACATAATGTACATCGAAAACACCTAGTCCGATACAAAAAATATATCATGAATACAAATGTTTTACCGTGGAGGAATCGAACCCGCGGGCATCGGAAAAAAGGCCGTCAAATATGGACACAATATTTATCGATATGTATGTTCTGAAAACGCTGTATTACGAATTTGTTTAAATTAATTAACAATAATAACCCCGGACCATTCACACAGACTCATCTAGTTGCAAGTATATTTATGTACATACATATATATATATTTCTCTTGAGACTCGTTTAAGATTTATAAATTATCAATGTATTTGCTGGATGTCCGTGATTTTTCAATGATCATGCACGACTGTAGGTAAATAATTGTAATAAATCTGCTTGCGTAATACTTGAACGGCCCCTTTCCAAAGAGTCGTTTAGGATTTATAAATTATAAATAAATAATATCTTTGCTGTATAGTTCGATGTTCGGCCTTTTCCAATGATAATTCATTTTTACATAGTCTCGTAACCATGATCTGGTAAACATCACTCATTGAAGGATGCGGGAATTCGCTCGTTGGCGGCGCGCCCTTTTTTCTCGTTCTCTTTAGCTACATTTATATGAAATGAATGAAATGAGCACCCGTGTAAAGTCAGCTATTGACTAAATATATATTTATACTAGCTGTACTCGAGACTACGTCCGCGTGGAAATGAACATTATTTTTCTAAAATAAAAGAAGCCTAAGTTACTCCTTATTACATCAGCTCCCTGCCAAAAAAAGACCCGTTAAATTCGGTCCAGCCATTTCAGAGATTAGCCGGAACAAACAGACAGACAAAAATATATTATTTTGGTGTACGTACCGTATTTATATTCATATGCATGTAGTAAAAAGCAGTTATTTACAATATTATAAACAGACACTCCAATTTTATTTATATGTATAGATTATATAGGAAGAAAGAAAAATATACACACTCGCTTATAATATCTGATAGTATATTAGGATCACCAAACTTGTAAAGGTAGTTATATGGTATATATAACGTGTTGCAGGTGCGTGGGGCGGCGGACTGCGGTGTGTCTGGAGCACGTGTGGGCGGCGGCGGGGGCCGGGCCGGGGTCCGGGTCGGTCCCGGGGTCAGTCCCGGGGCCCGGGTCCGGGCCGGGGTCGGTCCCGGGGCCCGGGTCCGGGCCGGGGTCGGTCCCGGGGCCCGGTCCGCGGCTGCGGCTGGTGTCGGGGGCGGGCCGGGCGGCCCCACGCCGTCACGCGCACCCTATATAATACACGCACTGACCACAACACGCTCTTTTATTTCAACCCCCACCCCTTCGACTTAGGTCAGCGGGACAGTTCTCCGGTATCACTCAAGAATTATTATATTTATCAACTAGCTGTACCGGCGACTTCGTCTGCGTGGAATTTAACTTTATTTTTCTAAAATAAAAATAGCCTTCTATTTTCTTTTCGGGTTGTACCGAAGCTATTGTCTGTTAGGTGAATCGATAAATTATACTGATAGAAATTTGATTAAAACTGTACTCTCACATGTACTCTTAAAATATAACTGATTAATGATTGAAATGAGTCGCGGCGCTCTTGATGACCGTATGCGAACTGATTTTGAATAGAAATAGAAATCATTTTTATTCAAATAAACTCATTACAAGCACTTTTGAATAGTCATTTTTTGATTCTACCACACATTCGGAATGCAGATTCATCACATGTTGCTCTTTTTAATAGATGTTTTTTTATATAAATAATTACAGTATAACTAGTAAGAGGCATGCGATACTCAACATAGGAATCGCTACGCACTCATTATTAGTGTAATCGGATAATATTGTCAGTGCTATGGATTTAAAGTTTTTCTATAAAAACATTATTATCGTTAACGAATTCTTCAATTTTATAGTAAGCTTTATTGCAAAGGAACTGTTTTATTTGACATTTAAATCTTTTTTCTGGCAGATTTATAACAGACTGGTATTTTATTATAAACCTTACGCAGTTGCCATAAAACGAATTACTAACTTTAGCCAAACGACATTTAGGTAAAATCAGTTTGTTATTGTTACGTAAGCTTTTATTGGTGCAATCACTAACTCTTTTGAAACTGTCTATATTCTTCCTGGCATACATGATATTTTCATAAATATATAATATTAAAGCACTCTCGCAATGACTCCCTGGAACCCATACTATAAATGGAGCGAATGGCCCTCTTTTGTAAAATAAATATTGTAATGTGAAATAAAATGTTAGTGTTGCGAAATAATGTACAATGCTAGCGTACAATTTAAAAGAAGACAACTGCTATAAAATTTAACAAATGATTTATAAATGAGTCAATCTACATTCAATTTTACACAACCTATATATAGTTGGGGATTTGTTTACACTAAATAATACAACGGTGTAGAGTCAACATTTTATTTCTATCTCAGTATACAACTGTTACATTTCACTGCTCAAATTGATTAACAACTATCACTATACGCTATTGTTAATTTATATTTTATAATATTGTAGAATTTTACAAGTGAAACATCTATACATAGGTTATATATATTTCTAGTGTATCTATTATAAATAAAAACTTTCTTTACAAGTATTAATTTATATAAAATATCAATAAAATTGTAGTTTCAATTTCAACAGTGAAACGCAACATTAATTAAATAAAAATTATACATTTATAATTACCTACGTACAGCCCGACACACGCTTGGCTGTACCGCCGTTGGCAGCGTCTGTTTATGTCGGGGCATAGATATATCGAATTAAAAAAAAAGATATTGGAATTTAATATCAAAAGCCAAAGATGGAGGAGAAAAAAGTACGTATAGATTTTGGCGCGAAATATGACAATATGGCGGCGGCTTGAAATAAGACTCCATATTGGCGCTTCATTATATACTGTTTTTGCCACAATTATCATTCCAGAATGTATTACAATTGATACATTTTCAATTATATAAGTATTTTACAGTTGTTTACAGCTACAGTAGCAAGTTCGACAGACTTAATTGTAGCGGAATTATAAAAAAAATCAATGTATTCATTTCCTTTCTCGTACAAGTTTTGTGCCAGATTTAAATCAATGAAAGTCTGATGTTATATGATTTTACTCGGTTAGAGAGCCAATACAAGATTTTATCAGATTTTACAGCTACATACAAAGTCCCAAAGTTCCAACTGTGGTTCATTCCCTACATCTACATACAAAGTAATGTGTTCTAAAGTTGTCACCCTGAACAGCTTCCAACAGTGGGTTATTCACATACTGAGGAAATTCCTACAAAGTTGACAACTTTGTAAACAAATTGAAAATTAACTTTACTGCTCACACATTACAGTAGATTTTAAAATTTCAAGGCACGAAAGTAGCCCTAAATCCTTACTATTTTTTTTATTTATTTCTTGTGTATTGGCTGAGTGTATATTTGCCACATTTCGCTTATGTTTTGAGCGCTAAATTTATATTAGATATTGTAAGATGCTATGAGCAATTAATTAATAATAGGCCTAATCGAAACAGTGGAATTATATGTTCAGAATTATTAAAATATTTCAAACTAGCTGTTAAACTAAACTTGTCTAAACTAAAACTAGCCTAAGTTACTCCTTATTACATCAGCTACCTGCCAATAAAAGTCCCGTCAAAATTGTAAAAGTTATTTTGGTGTATGTACTATTTATATTCATATGCATGTAGTAAAAAACGGTTATTTCAATATTACAAACAGACACTCCAATTTTATTTATATGTATAGATAATTAGAGATTTAGCTTTAAATTATTTAATAAAAATCAGAGTTGAATTTTGATATGTAAATTTAAAATAATTAAAAAAATATACCACTATTTCGGTTAGACCGTATATTTCATATTCATATGTTACATATATTGTTATTATATTTTTTCGAGCCCTGTCTCTGCAACTTACACATTATACTTACAAGACATATCTAGAAAGTTCTAAACTAAATCCCAAATTCGTGATCTCTTGGCGGGTTGGTTATATTAAACAAATAACTAATATTTGTCGGAATTTACTCAATTTCACGTTAGATGGCGCTGTCAGTCTATCCGTGCTCGTCTGTATAGTGATCCGGCTCGAAGGACCACTCATCATGTGTTTCTTCTTTATCCCATTTATTTGTGGTCGTCGTAATATGTTTTTCACTTCCATTCATCCCTGTTCGCAGTCATCTCGTTATTTACTTCCTTTCTCACTAAATCATCTTTCACACAGTCCATTCATCTCTTTTTCGGCTTTTCTCTGTCCTTATAACCATCCACATTCGGGGAGAAGGGTATTATTAGTAATGTGGACTAATTACCCCATTACTAGCAATGCACCATGTCAGATTGACCTCCACGCGGTTCCCCTGGAAACCATCGTGATAAATTCCTGGTGAATTTGTCACGATGGGCTAACTGACCTGACCTCATGCTCATCTTATCATCCTCAACTGGTGCCCCGCCAGCGTAAACCGTTAGCGCAGGCGGGTGCACAATTCCATTATCAAACCCTCAAAAAAAAACCATCCATATTCATATGTAACTACGAAAGACCACTATGTTTACCTAATTAGTTTTTTCTAATTATAAATTAAAACATCCTGAACATAGGAAACTGTAGTGACGACAACTGGCAGCGCCATCTAGCGTAAAAAATTGAATTACAATATTACACTTCCAATCTTCATATTAAACGGTTTACAGTCTAATTAGTACTGAATATTTTTTATATTTTCATATAAAGTATTTCTTCAAATTATCTTTAAACACAGAACACACTTTGTACACAGTCGGGTTACTTAATTTTGTACCACAGTGCTGGCAATAATTCTACCATGTACCGTCCATCTGATGGTAAACGGTTATGAATGTCACGTGTGCGTTGCTGAACCTTAAGAAATCCTAATATACCCTTCTTTTTTATACGCTATATGCTATGCTACGTGGGTGACAAGCTTACGGTTCCATCTGGTGGTCTTCTTCAAGAAACCTGCTGCAATCATATCTTCATTCATGTAGGTCTATTACAGACTCTTATGAAGAGTAGTAACTGGATGAGAAGGGCTGAAAATCGTGCCCAATGGCGTGGGAGAGGCCTATGTCCAGCAGTGGACTGCAGTGGGCTGATGATGATGATGATACCGTCAGTTCGGAATGATTTCGAGATGAGAAGAACTTTCTTTCATTCAAGTAATATTATCCGTATTGCAAAATGTTTTTTAACTCGTTATGTTTGTATGTTTTTCGAGTAATGTTTTGCAACTAGATTTAAATTACTTATTCTTTTACAAACACAATTATATAGATGGAGTACTTAATGCCTGATGCCATTCTCTACCAGTCAACAGTAGCGTTAATCAGGGATAGTAAGACGGTAATTTTGAAATAGAAATTAATAATATATTGCAATTTCGCTTACACATACAGTTTGGATTTAAAAGTATAATTACGGCATCTTACCACGTTTTATTTTTGTTGAGTTCCCGATATTTCGGCAGTGTTTCAACGGCCATGATCGCGGGTAAACTGAAGAGCAGCGGGTGGAAGGTAAATAAATGTTTTATGGGCAAATATATTCGTCTACCTTCACATGTCTGTGCCACGAAAAAGCCAATAACTTCAAAAAAATCTGATTATAGCCGGAAGGGCTGATCGCAGATAGAGAGAGAGAAAAAAAAAACTTGTCTGTGCCTTCACCCCGTGCTAGCTACTAACAACCTGGGGGTAGACATGTGAAAGTAGACGAATATGTCTGCCCATAAAAGATTTATTTTCCATCTACCCGCTGCTCTTCAGTTTACCCGTGATCATGGCCATTGAAACACTGCCGAAATATCGGGAACTCAACAAAAGTAAAACGTGGTAAGATCCCGTGATTTACTTATTATACTTATAAATAATGACCGCGTCAAACTTAAAACAGTTTAGATTTAAGTTATATTCTAAATTTAATATGTATATAATCGTATTGTTATTAAACTAATTATTTTCTGCTGCATTTTCATGATACATGAAAGATTTGTTGGCAAGAATACGAGAAATAAAATGACCTAATCCCAAATCCAAAATGGCGGAGTTTAAAGCTTATTTTTTTTAATATAACTTCTTTTATAATGACATTGATTTACAATCTTTTTTATGCTTTACATATCAATATTTGTCCGACTGCGTACAAAGAGTGCTATGTTCGCTACGTATCAACAAAACTACAAAGAAACTAAGGGCTGCAACCAGGTTTTACTTATTTTTATTTACTTAGTCGTGGAAGCGTGTCGCCTGCAAAATTCTCAATACACTTTGTACAGTCCGCGTCGAGCCCGCGTCACGCCATCTGTCGGCAAACAATGAAAACATATCACATTTATAAACAACTACCTGTGCCTGCAGTTTTACCTGCGTCAAATTTCAATATAAAGAAAGAAAGAAAGAAAGAAAAAATATTTTATTCAGTGCAATGTAACAAAAATACAATATAAACAACAAACGAGACAGAAAAAAAAATGAGCAAATAAAATGTACATATAATTAAACTTAATTTACCATAATTAATAAATAAAATATATCCTATGTGTTATTCTGATGCATAAGCTATATTTGTGTAAATTTTCCACAAAATCCGTTGAGTAGTTTTTGCGTGAAAGAGTAACAAACATTCATACTCACATACTTTCGCGTTTATAATATTATTAGCTATTCGCCCCGGCTTCGCACGGGTGTACATGTATTATATATATAAACCTTTCTCTGGAAAGACTATCTATTAAAAAAAACGTAATAATAATCTAATTACTGTAAAGTTTAATCAAAATCCACTCAGTAGTTTTTGGGTGAAATTTCGCTTTTGCATTTATAATATTATTAAGATTGATGGTTGATTGATGGTGGAATGGTAATATTGATCAGATAAAGAAAAAATATTTAATAATTTAATACAAAAAACACAAAAAAAATTTCATCGTTCTAGCTTCAACAATGATGAACGAACCTGTGCGTATGTGTACGTGTACCTAGCAATATTTTTTTTGTTCTATTACAAACAGTCGCTAGGGCACGTATGATAGTAGTAGACGGGCAAGCGTTTTCTGAGAATCTCTTTTGATATTAATATATTTAAAGTTTTCTTGAATTCTATAATTAAAACTATAAAAACAAAATTATATAGTATGTCAATTCACTGTCTACCATTGAATAATCTTATTCACGGATCCTCAAGGCTGTACTGTTGATTAGGGTAGTTAAATAAATTAAACTACGGAAACCTTTCCACAGTGGTTGTTATATTATTTATATTAATAATTATTAAAAGACTATATGTGTTCCAAAAAAAATCTAAATAGCGCGATGTAGAAAAAAGTATAAAAACTAAATAACGCCATCTAGTGGCACACTTAGGAACTAAAACAAACTTATAATCTCGTTCGATTGTACAACCACCTTAGCATTAAAATATTTAAATATCCAGTTACAAATAGTTCAAAATCTACCCGGTATCATCGTAAGCACAGATTATTATATTAGAGTCTGTTAGTTTGTGTTCCCGCGCTTTGCCTTCCCCTCCCTCACCTAGTAACAAACGGACCGTACAGCGGCCTAGACGCGCGCGCGCATTGTGTTGTGAATTAAAATAAATTAGAACTGTGTTAAACCTACTGTGAAACTGTGAAAGTGTGTGAAAGCTAGCGAAGATATCTTCGAGACCCTGAAGCCCAAGAAATCCGCAGAACCATACAGGTACGTGACTGACGCCTACACACTAAATTCCCCTATAGATGTGCAGAGAGTAAATTCCCTAACATTTTGGTAGCAGAGTAGTTTCCCAAACAATACGTTTCTACATCACGTTCTGTGTCGGTTATACCTCCTCGGGGCGGGTTGGGTCTGCGGGAGGAGACACCAAATAACAAATCAAATAAGAGGTGGCGCTACCAGCTAGGCGGCGGCGGGGTGCGGCGCGGGGCGGGGCGGCGGCGGCGCGGGGCGCGGGTCGCGGGGGCGGGGCGGCGACTTGTCCCCCACCTTGTCTCCGTTCACGATCGCCAGGATGTCCTCCGCGTCCAGCGTCTCGTACCTGGAACACACCCAACATGCTTATACTCCACTACACTCTAAGTTTATGTACTAAAAAATATACGACAAAGCTTATGTTTCACTATATATTATGTATAGAGTCGTACATATTATGTGTAGAGGTTGCTCCTACACTTGTTGATAATAAAAAATCTACGACAAAACTTATGTTTCACTATATATTACGTGTAGGGGTTGTTCCTACACTTGTTGATAGTGATAATTGATAATGTACGGGGATGATAAATAAAAGATACGTCCCGTAGTGAGCGCTCGATGTAATACACTGATTTATTGTATAGTAAACTGACATATGCTACGTAAGTGATAATTTATAAGTATATTATTATTATGGTACGGTGTTCCGTACATCATGTATGGAAACAAACTGTATAAGTTACTTTAGAACTCTCATTAAGAATAAGTACTAAATGTTGCCGTCAAACGACGATATTGTTTAATTTTGTTACTGGATATATAAATATTTTCTAGAAATAGAACCCCTTTTTAGTTTAACAATGCAACATCGCTGGTTGTTTTATTTATTTATGACTAGAAAACACTGTGGTAGTCCCGAATTCAGTGTTGGGTTGTACATACAAAAAGACCTGCCAAATAATTTCAAACCGACAAATTTTATAATATATAGAACTATTTAAATAACAAGTTTTGACAAAATGTACTAATTTTTAATAGTTTTATTTTCTACTAGCTGTTGCCGCTACTTCGTCCGCGTGGAATTTAACTTTATTTTTCTAAAATAAAAGTAGCCCAAAGAACTAAAAATTATTTTGTTCGTCTTAATTTACATCCTGGATCATCCCTTATTTTATACCCATGGGGGTTGAATTTATCAAAATCCTATTTAAGCGAACGTTTTCATCATAGTAGCTCCAATCTTTAATTTCAGTTCAATCAGTCGAAAATCTAAGAAGATTTATACAAACTTTCATCCCCTATTTTATCCCCTTGAGGGTAGAATTAATCAAAATCCTTTTTTAGCGGATGCCTACGTCATAACATCTACCTGCATGCCAAATTTCAGCCCGATCCGTCGAGTGGTTTGGACTGTGCGTTGATAGATCTCTATGTCAGTCAGTCACCTTTGAGTTATATATATTTAGATATATAAGGTAAAGGGCCATATTATGGAACATTGTACTAGTTTATGAAACAAGTGATAAAAATCCGAATTACAAATAATTTCTAACGTATTCAGTATTTATAATATTATCTTTATGATCTTTAATAACCTATTTATTGATTAAATTTATTTATTTTGGTAAACACCTTAAAATGTATAGAAAAAAAAATAGATGAAATGCCCGTGTCAGGTTGCATGAAAAACGACTGTCTTTTAGAGTTAGAGAATGACACGTGTCATCACAATTGTTTTAACAATTTGAAATATTTGTCAATGATTCAAAAATACTTGAAACATGGCAATCAAAACTTTGACTTATAATCTATTGATTGATAATGAATTTAAAGTACTTTAATAAGGTATTTATTTTTTATTTAGGTGTTTCATAATTGCCGCAAAAATTTCTAAACAGACCGTATTTATGGAACAGTATATTCAGTGTTCCACACCCCCCTCACATTCGATTTTCTAAGTTGTCCGTAATTATGAAACAGCAATAAGTGGACAATATTTAGTTAATTTCGTGTTAATCATTGTTAATTAATTATAACAAAGCAATTTACGTTAGAACAGTTTATATTTCTAAAAATTTGCATTTAGATATGTACATAGATTGTAAAATTCTATGAAAATGAAAAACTAACCTCAAAAATGAATAAGCTGGATGATAAATATTGTTTTATATTAATTAAAACATATACTTAAGTGGAAAACCTGCCTGAAAAAATTAATAACACTTTATTTAATTCAAAATTTTTACGAAGCACCTACATATCACATTTTTATAGATGTTTTTAAATTAATAATTTTTGTAGGTAGATACATTTTTTTTATAGAATTTGATATCTTTATTCTATAGACTTATTTTATATTGTTATTTTTGTTTTTGATTGTTTGGTATAATTTTTATAATTTGATGTTGGTTGGTTTTCATGAAATAAATAAACTAACTGTCAAAGAAGTGACGTTGGTAAATTTTAATTTTTAGAGAAAGAACAGAACAGTAAGAAAATTATTTGATTAATAATCAAGTCGAATGATAAAACTAATGATTACATGACACTTAACAATGATTGTCATTCTTCTAATAAATATTCTCCTCTGATAAATACCAGTACCCAGTCTCAACAAAGCAGCCATTCCTGAGGTAATTACTGTATGAAATTATAGTATAAAATGAACCTTAGATATGGTTACTAAAGCTCATTCTGGTATTTATGAAAGTAGTAATTTAAATTGACTAAATTTAACTAATATTTTGAAGCGTAATGTTGGTGATGAATTAATATTTGCGTTGAATTTGAAGTCAAGAAAAAATGGATTAAAGTTGAGTCATCAGGTAAACTCAAACTACCTTCTGCTGGCACATCTGATCGATGGATGCAATATGACTAAAAAAAAGAAACTGATCGTAAAACTAAAGAAGAAAAGCTACATAAAAGAAAACAATTACTAAATGAGAAAAAAGTGATAGCTGATGAACGGAAAAATCTACTAGAGAACGCATTACTACAAAGGATCAAAGAAGAAATGAAATAGTTGAATTTTTGGTTTAATTTAATGTATATTTGGTTTTTATATCTTGTTTATTAATCCTAAGATTTGAAACTGTTTTTGTCATACTTACTTTGTAAGTGAATATTTCTTTAGTGCTTGTTTATTCGTATACTTTTTAAATCTAACTGTATTAATAATTAGTAATAAAACTTTTGATAATAGTATCAAAAGTTTTATTACTAATTATTAATACAGTTAGATTTAAAAATTATACGAATAAACAAGCAATAAATAAATTAGTAACTGAAAAATGTTTTTAATGTGAGTACTTCAGTTCATTTTGAGTTCCATAATTTGGGACATTCCCGATGGAACACCCGTACGTGTTGCTTTAGACTGTTTCATAAATACGGCCGTATGTACTTGTCTGTTATTTTATTCAATTTATTAGCATTTTCAACTAAAATTCACTTGATAATAATTATTATCACTTCAGTAGATATCAGGCAAACTATGAACTTGGAAAAATTCAATGTTTCAACTCTATTTTTTTTTAAACAATGTAAAATATTCAACTCCTTCTCAAAAGGTGTTTCATAATATGGCCCTTTACCTTATCATAAATGACATCATTACTTTTTTATTATAATTCAACAACTATATTTGTTGTAAAATTTAAATATTTTGTATGCTAGTTAAGTTAATAATGTCCATACTTGAGGAGCGCGTCGGCCAGTGCCTTGTGTTCCTTGGCGTGCGCTCGCAGTATGGCCTTCGCACGCTCGTAGCTCTCCGACAGCAGCTTCTTGATCTCACCGTCCACCTGCACACAGTCACCACACTCATCAATATACCATTACTACACCATCACGTCGTAGCCCACTGATTTTCAATTTAGACCGAAAAAAAAGTATAAATTCAAATTCAAAATCATTTATTCATGTAGGACATTTTAGCCGCTTATGAACGTTAAGTTTTTACATTATAATTTTAATTGTTTCCCTACCGTCCATATCGGTATATAGATCCAATTGAAAGAAACTCAATTGAATTACTTTTTTTTTAAAGCCAGTTTATTTTCAATGTATATTTATATAGGTGTCTATGTCTAACATTAAATGAAAATCCCGTGCATGAACAACTATTGCCATGCACGCTCGTCGTTCAAGTATATTTATGTAGGTCTATTACAGACACATTAAGTGCGTAGCGGTTTCTATGTTGATTGTCGCATGCCTAATCCTTGTTAATGTAAATCTACTTAAAACAATATTTATTTTAATGAGCAGCACACACGTTGCTCATTCTTCTTGTGATGAGTGATTCCGAATGAGTGGTAGAATGAAAAAAATGTGACTATTCAAAAGTGCTTATATTATGTTTATTTGAATAAAGCTTATTTTTATTTCTATTCATATATACCGTTATTTCTCAATATTGTTCTGTAATAATAATACTTCTGACCAATTAACATAGCGCCATCTGGTCCCACGGTAAGCAGAGATTGTGTTATAGGTACTAGACAACCGATATAAATACTTAGATATCTTTGGAGTCTGCGCAGGCCGACCTTGTCGCTCATGCCCCACTCCCTTCGTTACTCACCAGCTCGTTGGTGCCGGGCCCCAGTTGGGGCGCGTGGGGCGGGTGGGGGTCGAGGCTGCGCAGGCCGACAATGTCGCTCATGCCCCAAACCCTACCGTACTCACCAGCTCGTTGGTGCCGGGCCCCAGTTGGGGCGCGTGGGGCGGGTGGGGGTCGAGGCTGCGCAGGCCGACCATGTCGCTCATGCCCCACTCCCTTCGTTACTCACCAGCTCGTTGGTGCCGGGCCCCAGTTGGGGCGCGTGGGGCGGGTGGGGGTCGAGGCTGCGCAGGACGACCTTGGCGCTCATGCCCCACTCCCGACGGTACTCACAAGCTCGTTGGTGCCCGGCCCCAGTTGGTGCGCGTGGGGCGGGTGGGGGTCGAGGCTGCGCAGGCCGACCTTGTCGCTGATGCCCCACTCCCTTCGTTACTCACCAGCTCGTTGGTGCCGGGCCCCAGTTGGGGCGCGTGGGGCGGGTGGGGGTCGAGGCTGCGCAGGCCGACTTCCTTTTCGCTCTTGCCCCACTCCCTTCGTTACTCACCAGCTCGTTGGTGCCGGGCCCCAGTTGGGGCGCGTGGGGCGGGTGGGGGTCGAGGCTGCGCAGGCCGACCTTGTCGCTCATGCCCCACTCCCTTCGTTACTCACCAGCTCGTTGGTGCCGGGCCCCAGTTGGGGCGCGTGGGGCGGGTGGGGGTCGAGGCTGCGCAGGCCGACCTTGTCGCTCATGCCCCACTCCCTTCGTTACTCACCAGCTCGTTGGTGCCGGGCCCCAGTTGGGGCGCGTGGGGCGGGTGGGGGTCGAGGCTGCGCAGGCCGACCTTGTCGCTGATGCCCCACTCCCTTCGTTACTCACCAGCTCGTTGGTGCCGGGCCCCAGTTGGGGCGCGTGGGGCGGGTGGGGGTCTCGAGGCTGCGCAGGCCGACCTTGTCGCTCATGCCCCACTCCCTTCGTTACTCACCAGCTCGTTGGTGCCGGGCCCCAGTTGGGGCGCGTGGGGCGGGTGGGGGTCGAGGCTGCGCAGGCCGACCTTGTCGCTCATGCCCCACTCCCTTCGTTACTCACCAGCTCGTTGGTGCCGGGCCCCAGTTGGGGCGCGTGGGGCGGGTGGGGGTCGAGGCTGCGCAGGCCGACCTTGTCGCTCATGCCCCACTCCCTTCGTTACTCACCAGCTCGTTGGTGCCGGGCCCCAGTTGGGGCGCGTGGGGCGGGTGGGGGTCGAGGCTGCGCAGGCCGACCTTGTCGCTCATGCCCCACTCCCTTCGTTACTCACCAGCTCGTTGGTGCCGGGCCCCAGTTGGGGCGCGTGGGGCGGGTGGGGGTCGAGGCTGCGCAGGCCGACCTTGTCGCTCATGCCCCACTCCCTTCGTTACTCACCAGCTCGTTGGTGCCGGGCCCCAGTTGGGGCGCGTGGGGCGGGTGGGGGTCGAGGCTGCGCAGGCCGACCTTGTCGCTCATGCCCCACTCCCTTCGTTACTCACCAGCTCGTTGGTGCCGGGCCCCAGTTGGGGCGCGTGGGGCGGGTGGGGGTCGAGGCTGCGCAGGCCGACCTTGTCGCTCATGCCCCACTCCCTTCGTTACTCACCAGCTCGTTGGTGCCGGGCCCCAGTTGGGGCGCGTGGGGCGGGTGGGGGTCGAGGCTGCGCAGGCCGACCTTGTCGCTCATGCCCCACTCCCGCACCATGTGGCTCGCGATGGCCGTCGCCTGCTGCAGGTCCGACGACGCGCCTGCACACCACCACGCACGTCACGCATGCCACGCTCGTCACACTCGTCACACACCTCACACCACACGCTATGCCAACTATTGTGGTTATATAACCCTGGACATCACACACACCGTCATCTAGTCCCGACCTAAGCAAACCTTGTCTTATGGGTACTAGACGACAGATACAGATACTCCAAATACATTTATATTCAAACATACATACATAATATACATAGAAAACACCCAGAACCAATACAAATAATCTGGAACATATTCAAGAATTCCTGTGCAAACATTGCTGTGCTAGGAATAGAATCCGGCCAAATAAAGCAGTGTATTAACTACTACACTACCTAGGTCATAAATATATGTACGCATGAACATCTCTTCCGCTGTCAAACGACCTGCTTTAAGTCTTTCATTGAATGAAAAATCACCACCATCAAAATTTCTGGTAACCATTCGTTTTCTTCTGTCATCTGAGCAACACACAAGTTTCTCACTCATTCTTCTTGTGATGAATCTGCATTCCGAATGAGTGGTAGAATAAAAAAAACTATTTCAAAGTGCTTATTTATATTAAGTTTATTTGTATAAAAATTATTTCTTTTCTATTTCATTAATTATGCGTAGTGGTCATTTTTATAGCGATTAGATTTTTTTTTATAACGCTGGAGACAAACGAGCATGCGGCTCACCTGATGGTAAGTGATTACCGCCGCCCATGAGCACCCGCAACACCAGGGGAATTGCAAGTACGTTGTCGGCATTTTAAAAAGGAATAAGCTCTTTTCTTGAAGGTTTCAATATCGTATCGGTTCGGAAATACAATTGCTAAAAGGTGATTCCACAATGTGGTTGTGCGAGGCAAAAAGTTTCTAGAAAACCGCACTGTGGAGGACCGCCATTCATCCAGATGATCAGGATGGTATTTCAGTTTCTGGCGGGTGGTACGGTGGTGAAACTCAGCAGCTGGTATTAATCCGAAAATTCCTCAGAACACTCCCCGTGATATATGCAGTAGTTAGGTTTTTCGGTCACGAAAAAGCGTTACCGTTGCATGGAAGGGATAAACGATATATTGCAATGTGAAAGAAAGAGAAAGGATATGGCGAAAGAGAGAGGACAACGACAGAGAAGAGCGAGGTTTCAGCTCTTGCATTGTGAGAGAAAGAGACGGTTGAACTTTCACCTTTACTATGTGTCCCAGCTAAAATTTGCTATGGGTTCAGTAGTTTAGGTCCATCGCGGACAAACAACGTGACACGTAATTTTTATATATAAAATTTACCGGATGTGATCTTGTCAAGTCCAAAGACAAGCTCCTCAGCGGCGCGGCCGCCCATCATGGTGTCCATCATGGCCAGTAGCTGCTGCTTCGTTACGTGGTACCTGAACACAAACATACCAATACAATACACATAACATTTATTCCAATTAATATATTAAGTCCTTACATATGAAATTGACGTTTTATCATAATAAAGGTAGTTTTGAGCGTTTGGTGGACTAGTGCCGGTGTTAGACTTAGTAGTTATTGCTGGTCAATCGTTGTAGGCCACTGCTGCTTCAGGACAACGCTAGACCACAAATTATACAACAGACAGTTACCAAATTGGAAGAGCTTCAATTGGAATGTCTAAAACATCCACTGGACATCTCCAGACCTTGCTCCAACCATCACCATTTTTTTTTTTAAATTAGGATAACTTCTTGTAAGGGAAAAAAATTAACTCCAAAGGGGCAGTCCAAAGCATCTTCAAAGATTTTTTTGATTCCCGTCCGAATGGTTTTTTTATTAAAGAGATCAATGAACTACCTATGACACGGTAAAAGTGCATAAATAGCAATGGTTTCATTAAATAAATCGAAATATATATAACTCAAAGGTGACTAACTGACATAGTGATCTATCAAAGCACAGCCCAAACCACTGGACGGATCGGGCTGAAATTTGGCATGCAGGTAGGTGTTATGACGAAGGCATCCGCTAAAAAAGGATTTTGATTAATTCTACCCCCAAGGGCATAAAATAGGGGATGAAAGTTTGTATGAAACTTTGTCAATTTTAAACCGGTCGGGCTGAGACTTTGCATGCATAAAGCTACTATGAGGTAGGCATCCCCTAAGAAAGGATTTTGATAAATTCCACCCTTAAGTAATTAATTTCGTAATTTTTTGCACGATGACGATCAGTATCATCATAATTTTATATTAAAAAAATAATTGTCACCATAGACTTTATTATCATCAGCATCGTCATCATCATCAACAAACTAGTATGTATGTACCGACCTCTCCTTAGACGGTATGTAGGCGGTGTGCCCCAGCGACGACCCTCGGGGGATGATCGTCACCTTGTGCAGGGGGTGAGAGTCCTGTACACAAACACACAGCACCAACTTAGTTATTGCATATTGTAATGCAGGCCGGTGATGGCACTGGAGGCCAAAGCCATCAGCAGCCTTCGGCAGTGTGGTTAAACATGGGGTCGAGGTCAGGGCCGAAGTTGTAGTCAAGGGTAATTGTAGCGTTGTAGTCGAAGCTGATGTCAGGGGCCGGGCCGGGGTCAAAGGCAGACTTAGGGCCGTTATCAGGGGCAGGGCCGAGGTCAGGGGCAGGACTAGGGTCGAGCAGAGCCAGGGCCGAGGTCAGGGACAGGGAGTCACGGGGGGTCACCTTGGTGTAATGCGGTGTTGGCAGGCGGGCGGGGGCGGGGGCGGGGGGTCACGGGGGTCACCTTGGTGTAGTGCGCCACGATGGCGTGTCCGCCCTCGTGGCAGGCCGTGATGGCGTTGGTCTCCGCGTCGGGCGGGCGGGGGCGGGGGGTCACGGGGGTCACCTTGGTGTAGTGCGCCACGATGGCGTGTCCGCCCTCGTGGCAGGCCGTGATGGCGTTGGTCTCCGCGTCGGGCGGGCGGGGGCGGGGGCGGGGGCGGGGGGTCACGGGGGTCACCTTGGTGTAGTGCGCCACGATGGCGTGTCCGCCCTCGTGGCAGGCCGTGATGGCGTTGGTCTCCGCGTCGGGCGGGCGGGGGCGGGGGCGGGGGGTCACGGGGGTCACCTTGGTGTAGTGCGCCACGATGGCGTGTCCGCCCTCGTGGCAGGCCGTGATGGCGTTGGTCTCCGCGTCGGGCAGCCGCGAGCGGCGGGCGGGGGCGGGGGCGGGGGGTCACGGGGGTCACCTTGGTGTAGTGCGCCACGATGGCGTGTCCGCCCTCGTGGCAGCCCGTGATCGCGATTGTCTCCTCCACTCGCCGCCGGGGGCGGGGGCGGGGGCGGGGGGTCACGGGGGTCACCTTGGTGTAGTGCGCCACGATGGCGTGTCCGCCCTCGTGGCAGGCCGTGATGGCGTTGGTCTCCGCGTCGGGCAGCCGCGAGCGGCGGGCGGGGGCGGGGGCGGGGGGTCACGGGGGTCACCTTGGTGTAGTGCGCCACGATGGCGTGTCCGCCCTCGTGGCAGGCCGTGATGGCGTTGGTCTCCGCGTCGGGCGGGCGGGGGCGGGGGCGGGGGCGGGGGGTCACGGGGTCACCTTGGTGTAGTGCGCCACGATGGCGTGTCCGCCCTCGTGGCAGGCCGTGATGGCGTTGGTCTCCGCGTCGGGCGGGCGGGGGCGGGGGCGGGGGCGGGGGGTCACGGGGGTCACCTTGGTGTAGTGCGCCACGATGGCGTGTCCGCCCTCGTGGCAGGCCGTGATGGCGTTGGTCTCCGCGTCGGGCAGCCGCGAGCGGCGGGCGGGCCCCATGAGGACCCTGTCCCGCGCCTCCTCCAGGTGCGCCATGCTGACCGCGCCCGCTCCCTCCATGGCCGCCCTGCGGACCACGACCCTCGTTCAGTTCCGGTGTCTCGACCTCTCAGTATACCGACCGCCCGGGGGGAGTAGGAGCGAGCGTTACTTGAGCGCGGCCTGGTTGACCATGTTCTCGAGGTCCGCGCCGGTGAAGCCGGTGGTGCCCCTGGCGAGCCGCTCCGCATCCACCGCCGGATGTGCTGCCACCCTGGCGAGGTACAGCTGCAGGATCTCGCGCCGTCCGCCGTAGTCCGGCGTGGGCACGTTCACCTGTGCAGCGCGATGCCGTCTCAATATGTTATATGACGATCAGTAAACGTAACACTTTATTGCGCCGACGGTATACCCCTCACACGTTGTCATTCAGAACTAATCTTCAACACTTACTGTAATTCTGTACGTATTCCAAATTTGTATGTACCCATACGTACCTCTACGTCGAACCGTCCGGGCCTCAGCAGCGCCTGGTCGAGGTCGTCCCGCCTGTTGGTGGCGCCCAGCACGATCACACCCTCGTTCTGATGGAATCCATCCATCTCCGATAGCAGTTGGTTGATCGTCTGCAACCGAACGACACGTGCCGTTAAACCATACCATGTTATGTGGATATTTCTCATCATCATGTCGATTTATAGACTTTATTAAATACAAGGCAAGTGTAATCTGGGATCTACATGAATTAAAATATAGACTAATGTAGAAAAAAATACAAAATAAATTTATCAGTTACTTATCTATACATAAAAATCTGAAGAGTTTGTTTGTTTATTCGAATGGGTTACGATATTGGAACATTCTAGAAAAGAGCTTATTTCTTTTTAAAAGTCCGGCAACGCACTTGCAATTCCCTGGTGTTGCGGGTTACTCATGGGGGCGATAATCACTTACCATCAGGTGAGCCGCAAGCTCCTTCGTCCCCTGTGCTATATAAAAAGTTATTATTACAATTACAACGTGCCTGGTTGGCGTACGGATGCAGCACGCTGTTAGTCCGCTTGGCTCCCACCGAGTCAATCTCGTCGATGAAGATCACGCACGGGGCGCGCTCCTTGGCAGCCTCTGTCCACAAACATGTTTTATAAATAAACTACCTTTTGCCCGCTGCTTCTCTCGCGTTAATTTATCCCCTTAGGGGTGGAATTTATCAAAATCCTTTCTTAGGGGATGCCTACGTCATTGTAGCTTTATGCATGCAAAGTCTCAGCCCGATTGGTTTAAAATTGACAAAGTTTCAACCCCTATTTTATCCTCTTGGGGGTAGAATCGGGGGTGGTACTCACTGAACAGGTCCCGCACGCGCCGCGCGCCCTGCCCCACGAGGATCTCGTCGAACTCGGGCCCGGCCGCGTGGTAGAAGGGCACGCGCGCGGGGAGGGGGCGGGGGTGGTACTCACTGAACAGGTCCCGCACGCGCCGCGCGCCCTGCCCCACGAGGATCTCGTCGAACTCGGGCCCGGCCGCGTGGTAGAAGGGCACGCGCGCCTCCCCGGCGACGGCGCGGGCCAGCAGCGTCTTGCCGGTGCCGGGCGGACCCACCAGCAGCACGCCCTTGGGCAGCTTGCCGCCCAGCGACGAGAACTTCTCCGGGGACTTCAGGAACTCCACCTGCCGTCCGGGACGAGAGATATCCACTCTTCTTTAGTTAAGACGATGGAAGGACCATCCGTTTGCGCTCACGGACCACCCCGGCGCCAGTGCGAGTCGATAGAATGAACATGAAGTCAGGTCTGTTAGCCCATCGTGACAAATTAACCAGGATTTATCATAACTCTTTCCGGACTAAACCTGACGTAGTTAAAAATGTCCAGTTTTTTTGTTGAACTATTCTAATATCGTAGTATTATCTAAGACGTTTACAATTTCACCGAAAGAGTGCAGATGGCGGTCCAAACCAAAAACAAGGACTCCTACAACAATAACAAAGGAAGGAACTCCAAAAAAAAGACTTCGAGAACGGCTGAAGGCCAACTACTGCAGATGGATACGACTTTAGTATGAAGGCACCGCTAGGGTTTTAAATTTGACTCAAACCTCAGCTCAGCCTTCGAAATTTCAATGGCCGTCGTTTGAATTGGACGGGGAATCGATCAGAAGAAAATATGTAAAATACATGCTTTTAAGTCGATAATTTTAAAAAGTCACAAAAGTATATGATATATATAAGCACTAACCACATCCTGAAGCTCCTGCTTAGCCTCATCAGCTCCCTTGACGTCGTCGAAGGTGACGGAGATGTCCTCAGGGTCCACCTCCATTTGGTTCCCTAATTGGATCCTGCGCATGTTTGTTACAAGCAACTACTGATTATTCCTTGCATAAACTAAATATTACACACTTGCTTATATGTATGATCTATTAATCTATTAGGGTCACTAGATAGCAGTTTATTAGTTAGTCGGGAATTTATACCCATACTTTGGAACTTAGTGGTCTCGGACAGTGCGGTTCCAAAATTTCGTCCCACGTACACTTAAGATTGTGAAGAACCTCGGCTACCTCCGGCAGTTTGAGATTTTTCAAGAATTCTTTAGAATGGTACGGTAGATGAAAAAACTGCTGTCACCTATCTACATTGACATCGCTGTTACTCCAGTCAGCTCGTGGCCACGGCTAGTGCAAACTAGTCGAAACGTCGAGAGAGGTAAATACCTTTATTTGCCACAAAATTACCGACCCGGTTAATAATATATGTCTACCCTGCTTTGCATGTGACTACCCTGGTGTCTGGAGGCTTGGTCCAAAGGTTAATGCACCTGCTTAACATCACATGGGCCGTATGCTTGTTGCCATCATTGCAGTATAAATAACAATACAATTCTTGAGTGATAGTTACCGGAAAACTGTCCCGCTGACAGACGCCATGAGACTAACGAAGATCGCGAGGAAGAGCACGATGGTAAGTAACTGTTGCACTAGTTTTAGATATTTGGAAGCTTTCGTGCCGCGCACGTTTTCTGGGTGTGAACCTGGAAATATACGGAAATAGACACTTATTTTAGTGCTAAATGTTACTAATGTTTCTATATAGATGGGGTGGAATTAGGATTTTTCGGTTACGAAAAAGCGTTACTTTCACGTGGAGGGGTTAGACGATGTTTCGCGTTGTGAGGGAAAGAGAAAGGGCCAAAGCCACTACCCTTTCTTTTTCCCTCGGCGACGGAGAGAGGCAGTCCGTCGAAGTTTCACTTCTCCTATGTGTCCCAGAACACTCCTTTTTTATAAGAAAAAGTGCCTTTAATATAAAGATTTACCAGCTAGGTATCCCTCGGCAAATGCGATTTTGATCTTGTCCTTCTGCTGGTTACTGAGCAGCGTGTCCTCGCTGAGGAGCTTCTCCAGTCGGGGCGCCACCTCCGGGCCCAGGGCTCCTGGCCTCTCCGCACTTTCCACCACATTCAGACCTGACCAAAAACAATATTATATTGTACTAGCTGTGCCCGCGACTTCCGTTTGCTCAGCGCACTCAACGGAAGGCCTCAAATATTTTCCCCGTTTTTGCAACTTTTTTGGTCGTAGCGTAATGTTATATAGCTCACACCTTCCTCGACAAATGGACTATCCAGCACAAAAAGAATTTTTAAATTAGAACCAGTAGTTCCTGAGATTAGCGCATCCAAACAAACTCATCAGCTTTATCTTATATATAAAATTCTCGTGTCACAGTTTTCGTTCCCATACTCCTCCGAAACGGCTTGACCGATTCTCATGAAATTTTGTGAGCGTATTGAGAAGGTCTGAGAATCGGCTAACATCTATTTTTCATCCCCCTAAATGTTAGGGGTACTCCACCCCTAAATTTTATTTTTTTATCTTTTAGAAAAAAATTTTAGTTTCTATTTATACAAAAATACATACAATCCTAAATTTTCACCTTCATTTTATTAATTTATATGGCAAAACAACGTATGCCGGGACAGCTAGTAATCTTATAAAATCTCGTGTCGTAATGTTAGTTACCATACTCCTCTAAAACGGCTGAACGATTTTTATGAAATTTTATATGCAAATCCAGTAGGTCTGAGAATCGGCTACTATCTATTTTTCATACCCCTAAGTGATAACGTCCACCCCTAACATTATTTTTTTATTTTTTGGGCAATATTTTTAATTTATATTTTATTATTGTGTCATTAAAAAATACATACAACCCTAAATTTCCACTCTTCTATCACCAACCCCTATATTTTTATAGCGTTATTAATTTATATGGCGATACAACGTTTGCCGGGACAGCTAGTATTAGTATATAAGTATGTTTGTTATATGATTAGAGGTTAAGTGTCTGAGTATCATTCATATTTTATTTGTATTTGCGATACCAAGAATTGTATAGAATTTTTTCGGAATGGTAATTTGTATGTTCGTATGTACAACTAGCTATTCCCGCGACTTCAGCCGCGTGGTTATTTAACTTTATTTTCTAAAATAAAAGTAGCCTAAGTTACTCGTTATTACATTAGCTACCTGCTAATTAAAGTCCCGTCAAAATCGGTCCAGCCACTTCAGAGATTAGCCGGAACAAACAGACCGACAGACAGACAGACAAAAATTGTAAAAATATTTTTTTGGTATGTTACGTATTTATATTCATATGTATGTAGTAAAAAACGGTTATTTCAATATTACAACCAGACACTCCAATTTTATTTATATGTATATACAGATTTATTAACATCAATATTGGTACCATTACAGCATGAAGGTGCTAACGAGAGCCGCGAACTACTGATAGTGTGTAATCAACTATCTAATGTCCGTGTCATCGACCTCTGTAGCAGGCGTCATCTGTATTATCTTTACATATATATCTGACTAGCTTTTACCCGCGGCTTCGCTCGCGTTAATGGGGTGGAATTTATCAAAATCCTTTCTTAGGGGATGCCTATTAGGCACATTGATTGAAGCAAAAGTATAATTCATCACATTTAAAATAAGTAATGTTGCTAAGTAACAGTTTGTATGTAACGTGCAACTGTGATCGGAACGAAAGTAAATTATATTTACTGCTATATATGTAATCCACTGAATATCTCCATCAATGCCTACCTCATAGTAGCTTTATGCATGCAAAGTCTCAGCCCGATCGGTTTAAAATTGACAAAGTTTCATACAAACTTTCATCCCCTATTTTATGCCCTTGGGGGTAGAATTAATCAAAATCCTTTCTTAGCGGATGCCTATGTCATAACATCTACCTGCATGCCAAATATCAGCCTGATCCATTGAGTGGTTTGGGCTGTGCATTGATAGATCACTATATCAGTCACCTTTGAGTTATATATATTTAGACTAGTTGTACCCGCGCCTTTGTCCGCGTGGAATTAAACTTTATTTATTTAAAATAACAGTAGGCTAAGTTACTCCTTATTACATCAGCTACCTGCCAAAAAAGTCCCGTCAAAATCGGTCCAGCCATTTCAGAGATTAGCCGGAACAAACAGACAAAAATTGTAAAAAATATTATTTTGGTGTATGTACCGTATTTATATTCATATGCATGTAGTAAAAAATGGTTATTTCAATATTACAAACAGACACTCTAACTTTATTTATTTAAAAAATTAATCATTCAAAATGTCTTTATTCCTGTAGGTCTATTACAGACTCTTATAATATGTCAAATCTACCGTCAGTTCGGAATGATTTCGATGTGAGAAGAACTGACAAGAAACTCAGCTCGTATTGTTTTTTTCTTTAAATGTACTATTTACAGTAATATAGATTCATTTAAACTCTTATATGTATAGATGTACAGTAATGTGAATAACATTTGCTAAATAAATGAATATTAATATTGTTAATAAATGGACTTAAATGTTGGTTACATTATGATTAGTACAATCCCTGATCCACAGATTGGTTGCACCTTCTCATACTGACCGAAGAACTTACGCAGTCTATTTATGATGTTGGGGTTCCGTTTCAGGTCTGCATGTATACTTCGCTCGGTTTTGAACCCCCGCACCTGCACATTGTACTTGAAGGTGCTGTCCTGTATGCTCCTCGCAAGTAGACCCACAAAGTTGTCCGTGAAACTGAATCTGAAGCAGACATAATGACATTAATATGTGAATATAAGCAATTATTCTTTCTTCTTTCTTCTTCTTCTATTCTATATATTACTTCTTATTGTTAACATACATATTTATATACTTGTTATATATTTAGCATATAAGTAATTTACTATATAATAAACAGCCCTGTGTGTGCATAAAGCTGTCCAGCTTTTTAGAACACAGTAACATAATTTTAAACACTGGAGATGGCCATTTTGTATAAAGAATATGTTGACTCAGAGACTGAGGTGAAAAATTACAAATAACATATGTAAATAACTGATGTTGTTTCTTTTTACTTTATTTCTTTCTTTCTTCTGCTACTTCAGCGCCACCTAGCAGCAAAAAAGTTATTTAAAGGATTCAATGTGAGTGTGTATAAGTAAATCCTAGTAGACTATAAAAATGTGATAAATATAAGATAAAAATCCGAAAATCAGCGCTGTGCAGCGTACATGTCAATGTTACGCTCACAGCATCAGCTGAGTCAGCCCTTTTTGTCTAGAATACGCAGTGTGAGATTCTACTGTTGCTATTTTATACATAGTTTAAGAGGTTCTTTTTTTTATATAGTTTTTGTTCAACAAACAGTGTAGGAACTTAAAATTTTATCTAATTTTTGTTCTGGCAATAAATTATTATTATTATAATTATTTTTATATATATATACATATATTATATATCTCCCTTTGATGGGGTGTCAAACTTGTCATTGCAGGTGAATATCACCAAACAATGACAATTATAAAATAAATGATTAGGGTGACAAAAATTTGCGGACTATTTATTATTATTATTTTTTTTTTTTTCTCAGCTTTTGCTGGTTCTCTCACACTTACGGGCCGAAACCAAGTAAGTGCAGAGTGTGTGCGCACACACTGTGTTATTATTATTCGTGGCCCTGGTCCCCACCTTCATGAAGGAGGACTACTGGCCGAAGGGGGTGGTCTATCGGCGCTACCATGGCAGATTGCCGTCGTCAGTGCCGTGACCATAGAGACAATTTTATTTACATATTTTATTATTATTTCTTATGTATGTTAGTCTATAAGGTATTTATAATATGGGCCATGTAGCCTGAATTAAATAAATAAATAAATAAAAAAAAAATTATTATTATTATACACTACACACCTGATAAATTAGTTACATTAAATTACATACAAATAAACTATCAGTAACACCACTTAAGGCCTGTTCAAAAAAAATAGTTTATCTATACATATGAATAAAATAGAGTGTCTGTTTGTAATATTGAAATAACCTATAACCTATATAATTGAATAATAAATTTTTTACTACACACATATGAATATAAATATGGTACATATACCAAAATAACATTTTTTACAATTTTTGTCTGTCTGTCTGTTTGTTCCGGCTAATCTCTGAAATGGCTGGACCGATTTTAACACGACTTTTTTTGGCAGGTAGCTGATGTAATAAGGAGTAACTTAGGCTACTTTTATTTTAGAAAAATAAAGTTAAATTAAATGCGGACGAAGCTGCAGGTACAGCTATTAGTATTATAAAAGCATTTGACAAGATGCCATAATTTCAATGCATGCCAACTTAAAATGTAACAAGTAGTTACTTCACTTAGATATTCTATTATCATAAATAGCAATATTTGTAGGTAATACAATAATACCTGGTATTCCTTCTGCTGAAGTCGACAGTTACTGTTGGAGTTGTGACTGACCATCCATTCTTATTTTGTTCAAACGACGCTGAAGATATGTATGAAACCTTTTTGCTGGAAACTTCGAGAGGCTTCCGCATGAGCCCCACCACGGATCGTACGTCGATCTTACGCATCTCAGCTAGGGCATGCTGATCAAAATTCCGTAACGCCTCCTCTAAACTCTCCTGGCAGTAACTACTATCATAAACTGAACTTTCCTTTCTATTCACATGCTTGTGTTTACCGCCATGTTTCCGCTGCTTAAAGAGACTTGAATACCGAGCTGACAGCTGACTAAAACTAACTAGAATCTGAAGACAAACATAGGACGAAAGGTTATCTAGATGACAAACAAAATCCGTTTACTATTTTATACTACTAGTACAGTGTTAAAACAAATCGGTCAATCATATAGAATTGTTACCTGGTTTTGACTATTAATAGAATTCAATGAGAACATGTTACATGTATGTAATTTGTGTTTTGCTTTCTACAAGTGCACTCGAAAATTTTGTAGGCTCTTACGTCAAACTTAATTTTCGACTTTCGTAGCAAATATGGCGATAGTAAACTTCTATAATTTTTGTGCTCTATGCTTCGTCAAAGGAAATAAATCTTAGAGCCAAGTTTTAGTCGCAATTGTAAACAAATTTATAAATAACTTCTAACACGTATATGTATATATTTCGCTTTATTTATTACAAAATGGAAGCATAATCTCTTGTGTTCTAAAGTTTTGCTAGTTTTACTATCCCATACGAATAATAAAAATATTGTAAGAATTTGAGCAAGGGAAATGTCAGGAGTAACGCAAATGTTTAACACAAATTAGACAAAAGGGGATGCCTTTTATTCAACTTGTATTAATTTTTATTATTTAGTGTATTATGAAACACAAATTTGAAGAACAGTGTGAAATGTAAATATTAAAAGACGATATGTATTGTACACGGAATGAATTATAAAAATTAATGAAGTTGAATGGGTTGTTTTTGCAGATCAAAGTAGACAATAGTCCTTCTCTGCCTATATTCTATAAGGAGCGTGAGGATATAATATCGTCACTATATATTATCTATTAACATCATCTAGGTAACATTTCGAGGAAAGTATAGCAATAATGGTGTACTGTAGATTTATTTATGTACTAATAGTACTAATAGTACATAAATAAATCTACATTCTTGTGTTAATGCAGAGATTCAAACTGACTGATTGAAGCGACCGACAAAATAGTTTAATGATATATAGCAGTGTATTTTCTTTATTTTTCAAAGTTTTGTAAGTAATAAAAGTAAATAATTTCAGAACGACTCTAATTTTTAACTCTTTAGTCTATGCTTTATTTGGACAGTAAATTCCAAAATGGCGACGAGCGATGACGAGCCTATGCATTTATATGAAGTTTTTCAAAACTGTTTCAATAAAATAGCAAATAAACAACAAGGTGAGTGAGAAATAGCATAGCTTAGCTCGTCTCGCGTTTTTCGAATGGATTGTTATAGTTCTGTGAAGTGTTTCATTGTGAAAATCAGCCAAAGTGTTCGCGTGTTATGCCATTTCTGTGTTGGAAATCAAACAGCATTTTTTCAAAATACAACAAAAAAACACCGCTTACGGTGTTGATACATCTTCCAAGATACTCTACAATGATCAACGCAAGTATTGTAGTGACGTACATGCTCTCATATTAATGTAAAACGGTAAAAAAGGCTATGTTTTGATCACACTCGCTATTGTCAAATGTGGTCAAACCATTGTGCTACAGTTGAGTTTCGTAGCGAACGTGAATTGTTTCAATGCTTTTATTTACTTTGACGTCTTCGTTATCGTTTTAATTAAATAAATAATAGGTATACGCAGTATCGATCGTATTATTTTCGATATTTGTACAATATAAGCTACAGTTCGGTGTCTCGTCAGACGGAGTGCATTTTTTTTATAAAACAATATCAATGGAATCTTGTGTAGTTAGCCAGCGCATGTTATTGTTACTCCGTGGAGTTTTAACTCGCGAATTGCCGTTTTTTATGGTCTCTTTATAGGTATGTTTATAGAATGAATTTGTTTATTTACACGCTCAACGCGCGTTGTATAGATTCAAATTGAACTTAGTTACTAGTCATGGTTCTCCAATATAAACCTTATAATACCTCCCTAAGTAATAATTGACACAATTATTCACCAACAAGTGGATTACATTTGTTTATAAATGCATATTTTTGTGATAAACAGTATAATTGTATGCAGGTTGTCAAGATGACAATCTTTGGCATAGTTGTGGATGCTGTGATGGTTATTGTAATATTTGGACCATACTGACTGGCTACCATCATGCAGAGTATGGTCATACTGTAAAATTAGGTCTCTTTCATTATTCTGTCATTTCCTTACATTCCTATCTGATAGGTTAGCCAATTCTGTTATTCTAATATAAAATTTGTAGCATATATCATATATTCATATGTCCAAATGTAGTAATTTAAACATTTTTTTAACTATAACATATTATAGTTTAGACTAATTGTACCAATGTATTATTTAGTCACAACAAAAGCTTAGTTTAACCTCTAAAAGGTTAAACTAACCTTTATTATTTGATAATAACTGTTTTGAATTTTATTATTTACTAGCTGTTCACCCGAATTTGTCTGAGTGGAATTTAACTTTGTTTTCTAAAATAAAAGTAGTTTAAGTTACTCCTTATTACATCAGCTACCTGCCAAAAAAAGTCCTGTCAGAATCGGCCCAGCCATTTCAGAGATTAGCCTGAACAAACAGACAGACAGACAAAAATTGTAAATGACAACTATAATAACAATAAATTTTGAGAGTTTATCCCTAATTAATATTCTAAACATTGATATTTTCTTAATGCAGTGTAGTTGGGATACTAAAAGAGATTTTGACTTTTCAAACAAACTATGATCCTTAATTTAGTATAAATGCTTAAACATAATATTTTTGTGAGTGTGTATGTTTGCAACTTCGTCTGGATCACACTTGATATTTATCATTATATTGTACCCAATTTATATAATATATTTTTAAACTAATATACACAGGATATAAATCCTGTATGTTATTCTGATGTATAGCTTATATTACTCTAAAGTTTCACCATTGAGTAGTTTTTGTGTGAAAGCCTTTTTTTTTCTATCTGCGATCAGCCTTTCCGGCTATAATCAGATTTTTTGATGTTATTGGCATTTTACTGGCATTTCACTGTGTGAAAGATTAAACAAACATCCATCCATAGTGACAAACTTTACATTTGTCAATTATAATATTAGTAAAACTAAAAAATTCATTCCAATTCAAAAATTCATAATATCTTCATTCATGTAGATCCATTACAGTCTCTTATGATATGTCAAATCTACCGTCAGTTCGGAATGATTTCGAGATGAGAAGAACTGACAAGAAAGGTCTTATTATTGTTGTGAACATAGAAATAAATCTAATACAATTTAAATCCAAAGTTAGCATATGTTTTTATCATCGTTTACTCATCAATTAATTAGAAATTTGAATGTATTATTGTAACTGGCTCTGATTATGTTACAAAACAAATAGCACAAGGTCACACTGATCATTGGAGCTGTAAACTTCATTGATTGGTTAGACATCTCTACTTGTACAAGCAGTTTTCAACTTTAAATGCATCTGTTAAGGTTTTATATCCCAACTAGTTTTTACTCACATTGAATGTATTACTTAAATAATATTTTTTTAAAATAAAAAGTATCCCATGTTCATTCATTAGTTTCATTAAATAAATTTAAAACATCTGTTAAATCATATTTACTGAGCAAAGCCTATTACTCACTAAACGATTACTTGAATGACGAGCGTGCATGGCAATAGTTGTTCATGCACGGGATTTTCATTTAATGTTACACATAGACACCTATATAAATACCTAAACATTGTAAATAAACTGGCTTTAAAAAAAATGGATCTATATACTGAACTGGACGGTAGGAAAAAAAATTATAATGTAAAACTTGACGTTCATTAGCGGCTAAAATGTCCTACATGAATAAATTATTTTTGAATTTGAATTCTAACAAATACCTCCAAGAAGATGTGTACAAAATTTCATGATGATCGCTTCAGTAGTTTTTGCGTGAAAGTGTAACAAACATCACTTTCACATTTATAATATTAGTAAAGATTAATAATATTAACGATTATAAATTGTATTTATTATTGTATTGGAGAATTTAGAGTGGTTTTATCTGGGATGAACTCATTATCTATTATTCTGAAATATTTCAGAAAGTGAAGCATCATTTCAATAAAAAGTTGTGCACTCAGTGGACAGCAGACTTGCATAGTCATTTACCAACCAGATTACATATATAGAAATAACAAAAAAAAAATATTTCAGATAGTAAACTTTTTAAGTAGTTATATTAACTTTTATTTAAAAAATTTCTTATAATGTTATATTAACTTTAAAAAGTTAATATAACATTATAAGGAATAAATATAACATTATCTAGTTCATAACTAAGCAGAGCTTGCTACTATGGGTGCTAAACAAAAGATAAAAGAAGCTTTTATTCTGCATTTTATAATACATTTTTTTACACATGTAACTGATACATATACATAGATATTTTTTTTTGTAAATACATACATATTATACATAGAAAACACCCAGACCGATACAAACAATCATATTCATGAATACAAAAAGTTTGTGCCGTGCCAGGAATCGAGCCCGCGACCATCGGTCGTAAAGCGGTGTGCTAGACCGCTAGACCACCGAGGTCGTCACTATATACTATGTAGTATATTTATTTTTAAGATTATTATTAATAATTGTGCAATTGTTTACTTTTGTATGTTTTTTTTTTATTTTGATTTATTTATTAATTAGATCATATCCCTCAATACAGAGTGCCTTGTAGCAAAGGTGTTCTCTTTTTTCAGCTGCCCTTCACCAGTAGGGGCTGGCTGTTAACTTTATTTCATTCTCCCAGCGTCGTTTTCTAAATTGCTAAACCACATCGTTTTATGGCAATTGCGTAAGGTTTTACAATAAAATACCAGAGTCTGTTATAAATCTGCCTGAACAAAGATTTAAATGTCGAATAAAACAGTTCCTTTGCAAAAAAGCTTACTATAAAATTGAAGAATTCGTTAACGATAATAATGTTTTTACAGAAAAACTTTAAATCTATAGCACTGACAATATTATCTGATTACATTAATAATGAGTGCGTAGCGACTTCTATGTTAAATTATCGCATGCCTCTTACTTGTTATACTGTAATTATTTATATGAAAAAAACATCTATTAAAAAGAGCAACACACAAGTTTCTTGCTCATTCTTCTTGTGATGAATCTGCATTCCGAATGAGTGGTAGAATCAAATATGACTATTCAAAAGTGCTTGTAATGAGTTTATTTGAATAAAGATTATTTCTATTTCTATTTCCACAGAGGCAGTCTTAACAAAACATATATATTTAAAATATCAAAAAAAATCTGTATGTTTGCCCTTCCATATAAAAAAAAACTGGTGTTTCCA